GGCAAGCCAAGTGGAACACTCCGGACCTGCTCCCTCTGACTGAGGACGTTAGAGCCATGCATGCACATATTGAGGTATGTCGACCTGAATATGTGCAAACCCTAATAAGTGAGCCAACGTCTAAGCATTGGTCTAAACTGGCAGTTTTGACTCTTTGTGAGGTCATCATTTTCAATCGAAGAAGGGAAGGTGAGGTTTCAAAGATGCCACTGACAGCCTTTACCTTAAGAAGTAAGACTGGGATCCATTCTGACATTGCTCTGGGACTGTCCCAACTTGAGAAAAAGCTGTGTCAGCATTTTCAACGCATTGAAATTAAAGGGAAAAGAAGTCGGAAAGTGCCGGTTCTTTTGACTCCTGAAATGATTGCTTCGATGGAGGTGCTGGTGGAGAACAGAAGGGCCTGTTCCATCTCTGACCATAACCCATACTTCTTTTCCTGCCCGGGCGCAGACACCCACATCAGGGGATCAGACTCCCTACGCCAGGTAGCCAAAGAATGTGGTGCGGTGCATCCAGAGATGCTATCCTCAACCAAACTTAGAAAGCACATAGCTACTATGTCTACAGTTCTCAATATGAAAGAGAATGAGATGGACATACTTGCCAACTTCCTCGGCCATGACATTCGCATCCACAGGCAATATTACAGACTACCAGAGGGGACACTGGAGCTGGCCAAAATCAGCAAAGTGTTGATGGCCATGGAGCAGGGAAGAGTGACGGAATTCAAAGGAAAGAGCCTCGACCAGATACAAATTGAGCCTGAAGGTAATTCTTGATATTATTAAAATATGTATGATTTTTTTTCCCCTAAAGGCCACTTGTATTTTTATTTTCTGTGCGACAGGGAGAGCAGTAGAGATCCTCTCACAAACGGACGGGCTAAAAGAAACTTCAAGCGGAGAACCTTCAACCATTCATCCAGATGCACCCCATGGTAGTGGCAGTGCCCCTTCTGGTAAGTGTACCAGGTGGGGGATTACAGCCAGGCTGCTTGGTCCTAACCCTGGGAGTGTATATTGCTAATATATTTTTATTTCTCTCCCTAGAACGTGTAAGAAAGCCATGGTCTGCATCTGAGGTGAAGGCTGTGGAGAAGACCATGACACCTTTCATACAGACTGGAAAGGTCCCTGGGAAGTCTCACTGCCTGGCCTGGCCTGGCCTGGCCTGCATTAATGCCTCACCAGATGACCTTAGACATCGGACATGGAGTGGCATTAAATTCTATGTCAAAAATAGAATCACTGCAATTCGAAAAAAAAATCTAAAATAAAATTCCTTTAAAATAGTTGTTTGGTTTCTATTGACTGTTTTGTATTACTTAAAGTAGTCCCAGTAAAAAAAGATTATGTCTATGGGTCCCATTCTGAACGGCCCTGTCAAAGGGACCCACCAGGTAACAAAAACGTGTATGTGTGTGTGTGTGTGTGTATATGTGTGTGTATGTGTATGTGTGTGTATGTGTGTGTGTGTGTGTGTGTGTGTGTATTAGGTTTCTCCACTGAGTTTTGTGTCTTTGTAATCTTAGATCCACATTTACAAGTTGCAAAGTGAAACCAACCATTTCTATAGCACATGGTATTGGACCATAGAGAGAGACCACATGGTATTGGACCATAGGGAGAGACCACATGGTATTGGACCATAGGGAGAGACCACATGGTATTGGACCATAGAGAGAGACCACATGGTAAGTAAGTAAGTAAGTAATCTTTATTTATATACCGCCTTTTCACTGCAGATCTGAGTCTCAAAGCGGTTTACAATTGTTATTATTTTTGGGCATTTTATTTCTCACTCCACACAGAGATGGGAGCGGGGTCACCGGTACAGGAGGCGCATGCCAGACATGCCTATTGGACATATTTTTAGTGGTAGGGGAAACCGGAGTACCCGGAGGAAACCTACGCAGACACGGGGAGAACATGCAAACTCCACTCAGAAAGGCCCTGGACCGACCGGGATTCGAACCCAGGACCTTCTTGCTGAGAGGCGAGAGTGCTATCCACTCAGCCACCGTGCCGCTCTATGGTATTGGACCATAGAGAGACCAATGTCCATGAATAGATAATAATAATAACATGATTAGAGTAAAAAGTACTTCCATAACCCGTGTCTGTCGCAGAGGGGGGAGCACGCAGACCGGCCTCGCTCTCAAATACATTTCCAGGAAAGGATTCCAAGGCGGTCGGAATTCGTCCGGCGTGGCTCAGATCGGCGTCCTTCTGTCAGACGGTCGTTCTCAGGGCAACGTGGTCCAAGCGGCGGCTCGACTGAAGGAGGCTGGAGTCGTGCTGTTCACGGTTGGACTGCGCTATCCCAGGTTAGGCCCAGTTTATTTGTATAGTAATAATAATAATAACAATAATAATAATAATGCATCAGTTTTATAAAGCACTTTTTTTGGACGCTTCACATTATTATCCTTTCACTCCAAACACCAAACACTCCATTTTCTTTCCGCTTTATGCGTTGCCGGGTCGCGGGGGCAGCAGTCGCAGCAGAGACGCCCAGACTTCCCTATCCACACACACTTCCTCCAGCTCGTCCGGGGGGACCCCAAGGCGTTCCCAGGCCAGCTGAGAGACATAGTCCCTCCAGCGTGTCCTGGGTCTTCCCCGGGGCCTCCTCCCGGTGGGACGTGCCCGGAACACCTCCCCAGGGAGGCGTCCAGGAGGCATCCGGAACAGATGCCCGAGCCACCTCAACTGGTTCCTCTCGACGTGGAGAAGCAGCGGCTCTACTCCGAGCTCCTCCCGTGTGACCGAGCTCCTCACCCTATCTCTAAGGGAGCAGCCACTCTGCGGAGGAAGCTCATTTTGACCGCTTGTATCCGCGATCTCGTTCTTTCGGTCATTACCCAAAGCTCATGACCATAGGTGAGGGAGGGAACGAAGATTGACCGGTAAATCGAGAGCTTTGCCTTTTGGCTCAGCTCCCTCTTTACCACAACGGTCCGATACAGCTCTGACTGCAGACGCTGCTCCCTCTTCACCACGATGGTCCGATACAGCTCTGACTGCAGACGCTGCTCCCTCTTTACCACAACGGTCCGATACAGCGGCCGCATCACTGCGCACGCTGCACCGATCCGCCTGTCAATCTCACGCTCCATTCTTCCCTCACTCGTGAACAAGACCCCGAGATACTTGAACTCCTCCACTTGAGGAAGGACCTCTCCACCCACCTGAAGAGGGCAGGGCACCTTTTTCCGGTCGAGCACCATGGCCTCGGATTTGGAGCTGATTCTCATCCCAGCCGCTTCACACTCGGCTGCAAACCGTCCCAGTGCATGCTGCAGGTCCTGGTTCGTTGGAGCCAGCAGGACGACATCATCCGCAAACAGCAGAGATGAAATCCTGTGGTCCCCGAACCGGACCCCCTCCGACCCCTGGCTGCGCCTAGAAATTCTGTCCATAAATACAGTGAACAGAACCGGTGACAAAGGGCAGCCTTGGCGGAGGCCAAAATGCACCGGGAACAGGTCTGACTTACTGCTGATGAACACAACTCTGGCTCCGGTCATACAGGGACCGGACGGCCCTCAGCAGAGGACCCCGGACCCCGTACTCCCGGAGAACCCTCCAAAGGACACCCCGGGGAACACGGTCGAACGCCTTCTCCAAATCCACAAAGCACATGTGGACAGGTTGGGCGAACTCCCATGAACCCTCCAGTATCCGATGGAGAGTATAGAGCTGGTCCAGTGTTCCACGACCGGGACCAAAACCACACTGCTCCTCCTGGATCCGAGATTCGACCATCGGTCGTAGCCTCCTCTCCAGTACCTAGCCACAGCCGCCCTGGGGCACACTGACAGAAGCGAGGCAACCAGTCTGTGCCATCGGCCCCTCCCACCACCACCAACCATTCACACACACACCAGACTCACTCTAATGTGGGGGAAGTGTCTTGCCCTAGGACACAACGACAGCAGATATCAGTGGGAGTCGGTGGAGGGTTGTGGTGGACTTGAACCCACAACCTTCAGGCTCAAAGGCCAATTTATAGCGCGGTTTAAAGTCAGAGACTTTGTACTTAATTCTTGCTTCTTCGTGATGCTAACGTTGGAGATTATAAATGAATTTCTTGTTATTCTTGTTGTTTTATGTTTAGAAAAGAGCAGTGGTGTCGAACTCATTCTGCTCCAGTTTAAAAACAAAACAGCTGCTTAGTAGTTTGGATGTTCTTTTCTAGTTTCAATCACAACTGGGCCAAATATTTAAACAAATACAGATGAAGATTGAGAGTTAAAAATAATAAATACATGTTTGGCCAGAACCGAATTGAATTGAAGTATAACATGCCATAGTCTCCCATTAACATCAATGCTGCAAGTCACAGTCAGAGCGATCATTGGAAATAACCTCCGGGGCCACTAAGTGTGCTGTCGTGGGCCGTATTTCGCTCCCTGGGGTTGGCCTGCCTGGGGTCGGCCTGCCTGGGGTCGGCCTGCCGGGAGTCGGCCTGCCTGGGGTCGGTCTGCCGGGGGTCGGCCTGCCTGGGGTCGGCCTGCCGGGGGTCGGCCTGCCTGGGGTCGGCCTGCCGGGGGTCGGCCTGCCGGGGGTCGGCCTGCCTGGGGTCGGCCTGCCTGGGGTCGGCCTGCCGGGAGTCGGCCTGCCTGGGGTCGGCCTGCCTGGGGTCGGCCTGCCTGGGGTCGGCCTGCCGGGAGTCGGCCTGCCTGGGGTCGGTCTGCCGGGGGTCAGCCTGCCTGGGGTCGGCCTGCCTGGGGTCGGCCTGCCGGGGGTAGAGTACAGAGCTGTGTTGTCGTTGCAGATGGTCGGAGCTGCACGCCGTGGCGAGCGAACCCATCCAGAGCCACGTCTTCTTTGCTGAGCATTTCACCGACGCCATCAACGGACTCTACACGACTCTCAGCACCTTCTCCGTCTGTGATGCGACGCCCAGTGGTACGCTAGGCTCTTTTAAAGCTGGGGTACCTGACTTTCAAATCACAAACAATGAAAGTGTGTCCTAAGAAAAGATAAGATAGTTTATGTGACATTTGGCATAAAAAGGATCAGTCAGGATGTGCAAACAGTTTACAGTCCTTATTGTACAGTCTGACAGTGGGGACAAAGGCCCATCGAACAGTTTGTCTCTAGTTTTCTCCTCATGTATTTTCGGCCTCTGTCTCGTCTTTAGAGCAGCTTTTTCAGAAAAGTGACTCAGCCCAAAGCCTCATGAAGTGATATCTATTCATCTATATTTATCTGAACTCTGACCGTTGGAAAGCGCTTGGGTTGACCTTTGTCTGTAAAAATGTGCTTTACAAATAAATATCACTTACTTACAAAGCTGTTAATTCGCCAAAACAGAAAAATCAACCAGTTCAAACAAGAAGTCAATCATTCTGGAGATACGTGCTCGTCCAATAAGAGCAGAGAGTGTGTGGAGAGGGCGGTTCTTTAAACCTTTAAGTGTAAAACCTGCGAATCTAACTCTAACTCTGCCTTGAACCGAAGGACCGCGGAGGACTCATGGTCAGAGAGGTTCATTGATGGTTTCAGTGGCGTTGATGGTTCTGTCCTCTGATGGTTCTGTCTCTGATGGTTCTGTCCTCTGATGGTTCTGTCCTCTGATGGTTCTGTCCTCTGATGGTTCTGTCTCTGATGGTTCTGTCCTCTGATTGGTCTTTCTCTGATGGTTCTGTCCTCTGATGGTTCTGTCCTCTGATGGTTCTGTCTCTGATGGTTCTGTCCTCTGATTGGTCTTTCTCTGATGGTTCTGTCCTCTGATGGTTCTGTCCTCTGATTGGTCTGTCTCTGATGGTTCTGTCCTCTGATGGTTCTGTCCTCTGATGGTTCTGTCCTCTGATGGTTCTGTCCTCTGATGGTTCTGTCTCTGATGGTTCTGTCCTCTGATTGGTCTGTCTCTGATGGTTCTGTCCTCTGATGGTTCTGTCCTCTGATGGTTCTGTCTCTGATGGTTCTGTCCTCTGATTGGTCTTTCTCTGATGGTTCTGTCCTCTGATGGTTCTGTCCTCTGATGGTTCTGTCCTCTGATGGTTCTGTCCTCTGATGGTTCTGTCCTCTGATGGTTCTGTCCTCTGATGGTTCTGTCCTCTGATGGTTCTGTCCTCTGATGGTTCTGTCCTCTGATTGGTCTGTCTCTGATGGTTCTGTCCTCTGATTGGTCCGTCTCTGATGGTTCTGTCCTCTGATTGGCTCCAGGATGTCACGTGGAGTCGTTCCCGTGTGAGAGGAAGACGTTGGAGACGGTGAAAACTCTGCAGGGAAAATTCATGTGCTGGAAAGGCTCCAAAGGGTTCTCTGTGTCCACATCGCTCTGTCCTTTTTACAGGTGAAAAAACTAAGGCTGTCAAAATTATCACGTCAACTCACGCTAATTACATTTTTAATCAAAGCGTTAAAAAAAAATGATCGCACTAACACATGTCCGAATGACCCGCCCAGTTATCCATATTATCACTCAGAAGGCCGCGGACACATGTGTGAGATGGAGACAGAGCAGACCATGTCTCCTCCTGAAATGCAACCAAACTCGCAAAATTAAAGCTGGGGTACGTACATTTCCCCTTTCATTAACAGCTCTTGATGGTTGTACCCAAAAGTAAAAGGCAGATTGAAGTACATGTGGTATAAATGACAATCTCAGTTAAAGCTGCACTAACTGACTTTATTTTTGTATTCATTAGTTAAAGTCTATCCATGTCCGTGTAGGGCATTGGGATAAACGTCCTTTTGAAGAATAATTAGAGCAGATTTGTGCTGGCGTGACATTATATTTTAGATCGAGTTTTGATGAAACAAGGAAGAGAATGTGTTTCGGGTCGCAGATTGTGACCAATCACAGCGGACCACTGGCCCCCACTTTCGTGAGAAATCTCCAGGTCTGTTAGCATAGACGGCTGAGTTAGCACAACAAGCGGCGGAGCTAACCTGAAGCTTTGTGTGTCTTCGTCACCGGTTACTGCTTACACAGCGAGACAGCCATCCAAATGAAAGTCCCGTTCCTCCGTGCTTCCTGGTTCTATCGTTCTATGGTCACGCCATCCACGTGCAAATCCATATCCATGTATTATCCATATTGCGATACGCTACCCCCGTCCCAACAGTGAGTGTGTGAGGGGGGCGATAGCTTCGTGGGTGCGGGGAGAGGAGCAGAAAGAGAGAGGCCAGAGAGTCCACGGCTTCAAAATCCCAAAGTCAGTTAGTGCAGCTTTAACTTAAATTGTAGTGGATTTGAAAAAGAATGTTAAAAATGTTATTAATCGTGAGTTAATTCACCATTAGTATGCAATTAATCAACTAAAAGATTGATCGTTTGACAGCCCTACTTTAAAGCAGCGTAATCCATCATTGTTCAGGGATTATGGAGTGTCTCCTTTAACAGAACAAAAAGAACCAGTGTTTTACTGATGAACCAACGGAAACATGTCCCTATGAGTAGAATTCTGTAGCTATAAAGATAGATCAGAAACACATCCGTCCAAACAGATAAATACATGATTATAAAAGAATATTAGTTTATATTGTTAGTCATTCTTATGCGATGGAGTCAGTGTTTCCAGTGGTCTGAAGGTCTGAAGGTCTTTCTCTTCTTGGCCTGAGTTTGGACCAAGTGTAGGCCAGTTGGTGTGGAGACCTCCTAAATGCTTTCATGTAACATTTGTAAATCCAAATGAAAGGTGCCTCTGTGTCCTGTAGTTACACCAAGACGTACCAGAGACACCCGACGGTCTGCCACCGCACGCTCTGTGCCGGTAAATCACCACATTCTACACATTCAGCCGTCTGTCATCACTGTTCAATACAAGTGTTTCTCTCTGTAGACCCTTGTGACTCCCAGCCCTGTCTGAACGGAGGAACCTGTGTATCACAGGGACCACAGGGACCACAGGGAGCAGAGGGACCAGAGGGACCAGAGGGACCAGAGGGACCAGAGCGGTACCACTGTCTGTGTCCCCCCGGGTACGGAGGACACCCTCACTGCGGTCAGTGACAATTTAAGATTTATATATTTGCATTTTGTTCGGCACAGTGGCTGAGTGGTTAGCACTGTCGCTTCTCAGCAAGAAGGTCCTGGGTCTGAATCCCGGTCGGAACAGGGCCTTTCTGAGTTGAGTTTGCATGTTCTCCCCGTGTCTGCGAAGGTTTCCTCCAGGTGCTCCAGTTTCCCCTACCACTAAAAACATGTACAATAGGTCTGTGCCTCCTGTACTGGCCCCTCCCATCTCTGTGTGGAGTCAGAGACTAATGCCCAAAAATAACAAGGTCCTTGTGACTCTGTGAAAGGCGCTATATAAATAAACATGACTTACTTACATTCATCACTTCTGAGTTTATTCCAATCAGCAAATTGGTGCATTTCAGTCCAATAACAATCAGCCAAAGTAAAAGTTTTTGGACTTGGAGAGAGGCGCTGATCTCAGACTGAGCTGTCAATCACACCCTGGAGGCGGGCTTCTGACGTCACGCTTTGGTTCCATTTGAAAAGAGTTGTTTTGATGTTTCTCCAGAACGAAAGAGAAAGATCGCTCTCAGACTAAAGCTTGAGGGAATCAATGATAAATCTACTTTGGGCCTGTGTCTGAGGCCAAATCTCACTGTAATCATGACAAATGGGACCTTTAATCTCCATTTCCTGCCTTTTAGTTTGCATGGATTTCATATGGAACGAAAGCAGAATCTAGCAGAACAGAGGAAATGAAGTTACATTCACACTTTTCTCTATGAGGACAATAAAGTCTCCCTTAACCATAAACTTTGGATAAAAATTAAAAAGAAAAGTACAGTTTTGTCTTGTGTATGTATTTCTAAAGTTTAGAGACACCTAAATATTTAGACCAACATTATCAAATCCACTCCTATGACACTAATCATAGTAAAAGTATTTGTTGTTTTCTTAAAGATATGAAAGTCCAAACAACTGAACCTGTGTGTGTTTTGCTCAGCTCCTGCCGTGGCTCTGGACTGTGCTGTGGACCTGCTCTTCCTGCTCGAGGGATCGTCCTCTCTCAGACTCTCAGACTTCCTCCGCCTCAAGTCTTTCCTCAAACGTTTCCTCCAGACCGTGATGGCGCAGGACACGCCCAGTAGGGTCGGTCTGGCCGTGTACGGTGGAGACACCACAGTGGAAGCCCAAGTCGGTGCTTTCTCTGGAGACGTGAAGGGTTTACTGAGGGCGGTGGACGCTCTTCAACCTGTGGGAGGAGACACCAACACGGGACACGCTCTACGTCACGTCACACGCCACGGCTTTGTGAGCGCTCAGGCGTTTGCGGACGTTGGAGAGGATTTGCCTCGAGTGGTGGTGCTGCTCAGTGCCACGCCGTCTGCAGATGACGAGGTGGAAGCGTCTAAGTATGCACGGGACCGGGAGATCTTTCTGGTGGGAGTGGGACCAGAAAGTCTGAAGGAGAAACTGAACAACATCACAGGGAACCCCCAGAGGACGCTGACCTACTCCACTCCAGACTGGTTCAACGCCAAGATCCCGGAGCTGAAGGCCAAGATCTGCAGCGTGGACACTCAAGGTACTGTTTAGATACTATATATACTATAGTAATATATGGTTTATATACTATCACATGTATACTCTAGCATTAATACTCATCTGGGCCATATCTGTTGGAAACACAAGCTAATGTTGAGACAGAAAAAGAAAAGCTCCAAAAGAGGTGGGACCAAATTCATTGGAAAGAAATTGTGATTATTTTTAAAATGTACAACCCCCTCTTCCATTTGAGCAGCTGGTCTTTTAAATACTTGTACCACGCAGCACTCCTTAGCCTTTGTTTTTGTTCCATCTGCGATTATGAGTCCTCAGAGAGATAACGAGTCCTCAGAGAGTGATAACGAGTCCTCAGAGTGATAACGAGTCCTCAGAGTGATAACGAGTCCTCAGAGTGATAACGAGTCCTCAGAGAGTGATAACGAGTCCTCAGAGAGTGATAACGAGTCCTCAGAGTGATAACGAGTCCTCAGAGTGATAACGAGTCCTCAGAGAGTGATAACGAGTCCTCAGAGAGTGATAACGAGTCCTCAGAGTGATAACGAGTCCTCAGAGTGATAACGAGTCCTCAGAGAGTGATAACGAGTCCTCAGAGAGTGATAACGAGTCCTCAGAGTGATAACGAGTCCTCAGAGTGATAACGAGTCCTCAGAGAGTGATAACGAGTCCTCAGAGAGTGATAACGAGTCCTCAGAGTGATAACGAGTCCTCAGAGAGTGATAACGAGTCCTCAGAGAGTGATAACGAGTCCTCAGAGAGATAACGAGTCCTCAGAGAGTGATAACGAGTCCTCAGAGTGATAACGAGTCCTCAGAGTGATAACGAGTCCTCAGAGAGTGATAACGAGTCCTCAGAGTGATAACGAGTCCTCAGAGTGATAACGAGTCCTCAGAGAGTGATAACGAGTCCTCAGAGTGATAACAAGTCCTCAGAGTGATAATGAGTCCTCAGAGTGATAATGAGTCCTCAGAGTGATAATGAGTCCTCAGAGTGATAACGAGTCCTCAGAGAGTGATAACGAGTCCTCAGAGTGATAACGAGTCCTCAGAGTGATAACGAGTCCTCAGAGTGATAATGAGTCCTCAGAGTGATAATGAGTCCTCAGAGTGATAACGAGTCCTCAGAGTGATAACGAGTCCTCAGAGTGATAACGAGTCCTCAGAGTGATAATGAGTCCTCAGAGTGATAACGAGTCCTCAGAGTGATAATGAGTCCTCAGAGTGATAATGAGTCCTCAGAGTGATAACGAGTCCTCAGAGTGATAATGAGTCCTCAGAGTGATAACGAGTCCTCAGAGAGTGATAACGAGTCCTCAGAGTGATAACAAGTCCTCAGAGTGATAACGAGTCCTCAGAGTGATAACAAGTCCTCAGAGAGATAATGAGTCCTCAGAGAGTGATAACGAGTCCTCAGAGTGATAACGAGTCCTCAGAGTGATAACGAGTCCTCAGAGTGATAACGAGTCCTCAGAGAGTGATAATGAGTCCTCAGAGTGATAATGAGTCCTCAGAGTGATAACGAGTCCTCAGAGTGATAATGAGTCCTCAGAGAGTGATAACGAGTCCTCAGAGTGATAATGAGTCCTCAGAGTGATAACGAGTCCTCAGAGTGATAACGAGTCCTCAGAGTGATAATGAGTCCTCAGAGTGATAATGAGTCCTCAGAGTGATAACGAGTCCTCAGAGTGATAACGAGTCCTCAGAGAGTGATAACGAGTCCTCAGAGTGATAACGAGTCCTCAGAGTGATAATGAGTCCTCAGAGTGATAACGAGTCCTCAGAGTGATAATGAGTCCTCAGAGTGATAATGAGTCCTCAGAGTGATAACGAGTCCTCAGAGTGATAATGGAGTCCTCAGAGTGATAACGAGTCCTCAGAGAGTGATAACGAGTCCTCAGAGTGATAACAAGTCCTCAGAGTGATAACGAGTCCTCAGAGTGATAACGAGTCCTCAGAGAGATAATGAGTCCTCAGAGAGTGATAACGAGTCCTCAGAGTGATAACGAGTCCTCAGAGTGATAACGAGTCCTCAGAGAGTGATAATGAGTCCTCAGAGTGATAATGAGTCCTCAGAGTGATAACGAGTCCTCAGAGTGATAATGAGTCCTCAGAGTGATAACGAGTCCTCAGAGTGATAACGAGTCCTCAGAGAGTGATAATGAGTCCTCAGAGTGTATAACGAGTCCTCAGAGAGATAACGAGTCCTCAGAGTGATAACGAGTCCTCAGGAGAGTGATAATGAGTCCTCAGAGTGATAACGAGTCCTCAGAGAGATAACGAGTCCTCAGAGTGATAACGAGTCCTCAGAGTGATAACGAGTCCTCAGAGAGATAATGAGTCCTCAGAGAGTGATAACGAGTCCTCAGAGTGATAACGAGTCCTCAGAGAGTGATAATGAGTCCTCAGAGTGATAATGAGTCCTCAGAGAGTAATAACGAGTCCTCAGAGAGTGATAACGAGTCCTCAGAGTGATAACGAGTCCTCAGAGAGTGATAACGAGTCCTCAGAGTGATAACGAGTCCTCAGAGTGATAACGAGTCCTCAGAGTGATAACGAGTCCTCAGAGAGTGATAACGAGTCCTCAGAGTGATAACGAGTCCTCAGAGTGATAACGAGTCCTCAGAGAGTGATAACGAGTCCTCAGAGAGTGATAACGAGTCCTCAGAGTGATAATGAGTCCTCAGAGAGTGATAACGAGTCCTCAGAGAGTGATAACGAGTCCTCAGAGTGATAACGAGTCCTCAGAGAGTGATAACGAGTCCTCAGAGTGATAACGAGTCCTCAGAGTGATAACGAGTCCTCAGAGTGATAACGAGTCCTCAGAGAGTGATAACGAGTCCTCAGAGTGATAACGAGTCCTCAGAGTGATAACGAGTCCTCAGAGAGATAACGAGTCCTCAGAGTGATAACGAGTCCTCAGAGTGATAACGAGTCCTCAGAGTGATAACGAGTCCTCAGAGTGATAACGAGTCCTCAGAGTGATAACGAGTCCTCAGAGTGATAACGAGTCCTCAGAGTGATAATGAGTCCTCAGAGTGATAATGAGTCCTCAGAGAGTGATAACGAGTCCTCAGAGTGATAACGAGTCCTCAGAGTGATAACGAGTCCTCAGAGTGATAACGAGTCCTCAGAGAGTGATAATGAGTCCTCAGAGTGATAACGAGTCCTCAGAGAGTGATAATGAGTCCTCAGAGAGTGATAACGAGTCCTCAGAGAGTGATAATGAGTCCTCAGAGAGTGATAACGAGTCCTCAGAGAGATAATGAGTCCTCAGAGAGTGATAACGAGTCCTCAGAGTGATAACGAGTCCTCAGAGTGATAACGAGTCCTCAGAGTGATAACGAGTCCTCAGAGTGATAATGAGTCCTCAGAGTGATAATGAGTCCTCAGAGTGATAACGAGTCCTCAGAGTGATAACGAGTCCTCAGAGAGTGATAATGAGTCCTCAGAGTGATAACGAGTCCTCAGAGAGATAACGAGTCCTCAGAGTGATAACGAGTCCTCAGAGTGATAACGAGTCCTCAGAGAGATAACGAGTCCTCAGAGTGATAATGAGTCCTCAGAGTGATAACGAGTCCTCAGAGTGATAACGAGTCCTCAGAGTGATAATGAGTCCTCAGAGTGATAATGAGTCCTCAGAGTGATAATGAGTCCTCAGAGGGATAATGAGTCCTCAGAGTGATAACGAGTCCTCAGAGAGTGATAACGAGTCCTCAGAGAGTGATAACGAGTCCTCAGAGAGTGATAACGAGTCCTCAGAGTGATAACGAGTCCTCAGAGTGATAATGAGTCCTCAGAGTGATAATGAGTCCTCAGAGTGATAATGAGTCCTCAGAGTGATAACGAGTCCTCAGAGAGTGATAACGAGTCCTCAGAGAGATAACGAGTCCTCAGAGTGATAACGAGTCCTCAGAGTGATAACGAGTGCTCAGAGTGATAACGAGTCCTCAGAGAGATAATGAGTCCTCAGAGAGTGATAACGAGTCCTCAGAGTGATAACGAGTCCTCAGAGTGATAACGAGTCCTCAGAGTGATAACGAGTCCTCAGAGTGATAACGAGTCCTCAGAGAGTGATAATGAGTCCTCAGAGTGATAACGAGTCCTCAGAGTGATAACGAGTCCTCAGAGTGATAATGAGTCCTCAGAGTGATAACGAGTCCTCAGAGTGATAACGAGTCCTCAGAGAGTGATAACGAGTCCTCAGAGTGATAACGAGTCCTCAGAGAGATAATGAGTCCTCAGAGAGTGATAACGAGTCCTCAGAGAGATAATGAGTCCTCAGAGAGTGATAACGAGTCCTCAGAGTGATAACGAGTCCTCAGAGTGATAACGAGTCCTCAGAGTGATAACGAGTCCTCAGAGTGATAACGAGTCCTCAGGAGAGTGATAATGAGTCCTCAGAGTGATAACGAGTCCTCAGAGAGATAACGAGTCCTCAGAGTGATAACGAGTCCTCAGGAGAGTGATAATGAGTCCTCAGAGTGATAACGAGTCCTCAGAGAGATAACGAGTCCTCAGAGTGATAACGAGTCCTCAGAGTGATAACGAGTCCTCAGAGAGATAATGAGTCCTCAGAGAGTGATAACGAGTCCTCAGAGTGATAACGAGTCCTCAGAGTGATAACGAGTCCTCAGAGTGATAACGAGTCCTCAGAGAGTGATAATGAGTCCTCAGAGTGATAACGAGTCCTCAGAGAGTGATAACGAGTCCTCAGAGTGATAACGAGTCCTCAGAGTGATAACGAGTCCTCAGAGTGATAATGAGTCCTCAGAGTGATAATGAGTCCTCAGAGTGATAATGAGTCCTCAGAGTGATAACGAGTCCTCAGAGAGTGATAACGAGTCCTCAGAGAGATAACGAGTCCTCAGAGTGATAACGAGTCCTCAGAGTGATAACGAGTCCTCAGAGAGTGATAACGAGTCCTCAGAGTGATAACGAGTCCTCAGAGTGATAACGAGTCCTCAGAGTGATAACGAGTCCTCAGAGAGTGATAACGAGTCCTCAGAGTGATAACGAGTCCTCAGAGTGATAACGAGTCCTCAGAGAGTGATAACGAGTCCTCAGAGAGTGATAACGAGTCCTCAGAGTGATAATGAGTCCTCAGAGAGTGATAACGAGTCCTCAGAGAGTGATAACGAGTCCTCAGAGTGATAACGAGTCCTCAGAGAGTGATAACGAGTCCTCAGAGTGATAACGAGTCCTCAGAGTGATAATGAGTCCTCAGAGTGATAATGAGTCCTCAGAGTGATAATGAGTCCTCAGAGTGATAACGAGTCCTCAGAGTGATAACGAGTCCTCAGAGAGTGATAACGAGTCCTCAGAGTGATAACGAGTCCTCAGAGTGATAACGAGTCCTCAGAGTGATAACGAGTCCTCAGAGAGATAACGAGTCCTCAGAGTGATAACGAGTCCTCAGAGTGATAACGAGTCCTCAGAGAGATAACGAGTCCTCAGAGTGATAACGAGTCCTCAGAGTGATAACGAGTCCTCAGAGAGTGATAACGAGTCCTCAGAGTGATAACGAGTCCTCAGAGAGATAACGAGTCCTCAGAGTGATAACGAGTCCTCAGAGTGATAACGAGTCCTCAGAGAGTGATAACGAGTCCTCAGAGTGATAACGAGTCCTCAGAGAGATAACGAGTCCTCAGAGTGATAACGAGTCCTCAGAGTGATAACGAGTCCTCAGAGTGATAACGAGTCCTCAGAGAGATAACGAGTCCTCAGAGTGATAACGAGTCCTCAGAGTGATAACGAGTCCTCAGAGAGTGATAATGAGTCCTCAGAGTGATAACGAGTCCTCAGAGAGTGATAATGAGTCCTCAGAGAGTGATAATGAGTCCTCAGAGTGATAACGAGTCCTCAGAGTGATAACGAGTCCTCAGAGAGTGATAATGAGTCCTCAGAGTGATAACGAGTCCTCAGAGAGTGATAATGAGTCCTCAGAGTGATAACGAGTCCTCAGAGTGATAACGAGTCCTCAGAGTGATAACGAGTCCTCAGAGTGACCTGTGTGTCTCAGGCTGCCTGGGACAAGCCGTGGACCTGGTGGTGGCGTTGGATGCGTCTGGAGGAGTGGGAAAAGACAACTTCCTGTCTCTGCGTGACTTCGTGAGCGGCCTCACGGTGCAGTTCGACATAAACCGTGACGTGGCGCAGGTGGCTCTGGTCTCGTACGCTCGCCGCGCCACCACCGTCTTCAACCTGGACGTCCACGACACCGGCTCCTCCATCCTCAAGGCCGTCCAGGAGGCCACGTACCTGGGGGGTGTGGCCTCTACCGGGGCGGCCCTCCTCCACATCCACTCCGACGTCCTGACCGTGGCCAAAGGGGCGCGGCCCGGAGTCAACAAGGCCGTGGTGGTCCTGACTGACGGGTCCAGTGCAGAGGACGCGGTGGTCCCGGCGCAGAGACTCAGAGACAATGGAGTTTCTCTGTTTGTGATCGGAGTCGGAGACGTCCAGAGGGAGAGGCTGCTGCCCATCGCGGGGTCCGAGGAGCACATGATCTCTGTGGCGTCGTACGAGGACCTGAAATACTCTGAGGACGTGTTGGTGCAGATGGTGTGCACAGGTGACGCCGTCTTTCTCTCTCTCTCTATCTCCCTGCTCTGGTTTAATACTGCTCTCTCTCTATCTACCTGCTAGCATCTTCATCTACCTGCTAGCATCTTCATCTACCTGCTAGCATCTTCATCTACCTGCTAGCATCTTCATCTACCTAGCTAGCATCTTCATCTACCTGCTAGCATCTTCATCTACCTGCTGCTGCTAGCATCTTCATCTACCTGCTAGCATCTTCATCTACCTGCTAGCATCTTCATCTACCTGCTAGCATCTTCATCTACCTGCTAGCATCTTCATCTACCTGCTAGCATCTTCATCTACCTGCTAGCATCTTCATCTACCTGCTAGCATCTTCATCTACCTGCTAGCATCTTCATCTACCTGCTAGCATCTTCATCTACCTGCTAGCAACTCTAGTTTTATCAACAACAAATCTATAACCAACACCTTTTTCACAAAGATAGAAATCCTGGTTTTATTCCTTGTTTTGTCGTTAATGATTTGAGAATCATAACGAGACCTTTTTTAGTTCTGCGCCACATGGTACTTTACCAGTGAGATTAGCTCCACATGGTACTTTACCAGTGAGATTAGCTCCACATGGTACTTTACCAGTGAGATTAGCTCCACATGGTACTTTACCAGTGAGATTAGCTCCACATGGTACTTTACCAGTGAGATTAGCTCCACATGGTACTTTACCAGTGAGATTAGCTCCACGCGGTGAGTTCTGGCGCCCGGATCACAGACTTTCTGATTGGTGAAACGGTGGAGGGCGGGACATCGAAATGAAAACAATAACAAGATTAGGGCCCTTTAATGATGAAGGATTAGGGCCCTTTAATGATGACAGATTAGGCCCTTTAATGATGACAGATTAGGGCCCTTTAATGATGACAGATTAGAGCCCTTTAATGATGACAGATTAGGGCCCTTTAATGATGACAGATTAGGGCCCTTTAATGATGACAGATTAGGCCCTTTAATGATGACAGATTAGGCCCTTTAATGATGACAGATTAGGGCCCTTTAATGATGACAGATTAGGCCCTTTAATGATGACAGATCAGGGCCCTTTAATGATGACAGATTAGGCCCTTTAATGATGACAGATTAGGCCCTTTAATGATTACTGGACATGTAAATCTTACATATTGCTCCTTTAACTTTAGATATTTTACAGTATTGTGTCCAGTTTTCGGTGAATTGAAGCGACCCATATTCTCCCAGTGCTGGTGCATCATCCATCATCATAATTACTAAAGAATAAAACTGAATCTTTGCACATTCCAGAGGTGAAAAAGCCCGTGGACCTGTGTCGACCCAACCCTTGCATGAACGACGGCGTCTGCACCGCGGCGCCCGGAGGAAACTACCGCTGCCGTTGCCGCGGTTACGAGGGGCCGCACTGCGAGACCAGTCAGTGCTAATACACACATTCTGAAATCCTACCGTTTGTCTTTGTTTCTGCTTTTACTTCTTCTTCTGTGTTCAGAAAGCAGCAGCAGATCTTTGGTCCGAGGGGATCAGCCCAAACCTGCAGGTCTGAGGAGGAGCCGACAGAAGAAAAGCAACCGAGAGCTGCTGCAGGACTTTAAACAGCAGCGCAGACAGAGGCGTCACTGACAAGGACTCAATACAAGTCTACTGTGTGTTATTTAAGATTGTACTCAGCCATTTTCTATTTTTATACAACTACTGAATATGTCATGACTGTTTACGAGCTGCTGTGGAACTACTTTGGATGAAAACAAATAAGACTGAAATATATGTTGCCAAAGAACATCCTTTCATTTATTTTATGGTTTGTCCAGAAAGAAACTTATAATGGCTGGGGACTGGCACAATGTAAGTGTCCCCAACAGTGATGCACTAATGTGAAGGTTGTGGCCGATACGATAAATGTTAATATCACTGCTACGGCCGATAACCATATTTACCAATGGAGGATGTATGAATCTGAAACCCCGCCCCCACACTCAAGTTTAGATTTTATACACATCAAATAAGTTTCTTTATAGGACTCTCAAACTATCTTTCACTTCATACACGAAGGTGATCCACTGCTATTGACCACTGTATGTACTATATACCACAGCTGCCCTGGGGCACACTGACAGAAGCGAGGCAACCAGTCTGTGCCATCGGCCCCTCCCACCACCACCAACCATTCACACACACACCAGACTCATTCTAATGTGGGGGAAGTGTCTTGCCTAAGGACACAACCACAGTTTGGCACTTTACAGCCGCAGCCGCCTCACTGTGGCACCGGGTGTTCCCAGAGGTCTCCCATCACAGTACTAACCAAGCCCTGCCCTGTTTAGCTTCAGAGCTCTGACAGGATCTGCCTGTCACCTGCAGGGGGCGCCACAATACACTACAATGATAATCAACCTGTTCACACTTGAACAAGAACAATGTGTTAAATAGTATGGACATAATCTGGGGGATATATCGTGCGTCACTGGGCCCAAAACAAAAGGAGATCCATTGTTAGTGATTTAAAAACATTCACAGACCAGTTTTCATCATCCATCCATCCATCCATCCATCCATCCATCTTCTTCCCTTTAATCCATTTCTGGGTCAGGGGGGTGGCAGTCAGAGATGCACCAGCCCCTCACTGACCCTCTGCAGGTGGTGAGTCCACAGGAGGACGGCTGCTCTCTGAGTGTGAGCATAGCCTTGATCTTTCAGTGGGGGCTTTGGGCAAAGTGGGGTTAAGTGTCTTGCCCAAGGACACAACGACAACTGTCATCAGTGGGAGTCGGTGGAGAAGGTGTAGTTTTCATCAGTACATTTTTATTTGAATAAAAAGTGCATTTATTTATTTATTTATTTATTAGTTTATTTGACAGGGACAGTGTACATTAATGAACATTACTGTAAATGTACCAGAATTAGCCACAAGGCTATTTTCCATCCGTTGTCCCTGGACAGATTTAAAATGTCAACCTAAAAGCAAACACAACACTTGTATACAAAACAACAATGATAAAAACAGTGTACATTTACCATATATACAATTAGTTAATTAGTTAAAAGTTAGTGTTGACAGGACTGTTTTGTAATGAACCATGATTTGAGATGAGTTTTGAACAGATTGTATGAGGCCAGTTCTCTGATGTTTGATGGGACTGTGTTCCACTCCTGAGACGCCCTCACAGAGAAGGCACTCTGGCTGAAGGCGCTCTTCCGGAGTGGGATAACACAGTCCCCACGGGCGGCCCCCCTGGTTACCCTGTGTGTGGTGTTCCTGACTGTGATAAATTGGTTGAGAGGAGGTGAAGATGAACCATGAATGATCTTGTAAATGAGACAGAGATTAGAGTATTTGATGACATTTGTCCAATTTAGAAGATGGTGTTTTTGTAAAATGGAACAGTGGTGAAATCTTTGTGGTTTTTTGTCCAGTATCTTGAGTGTTTGCTTGTATAAGGATTCTATTGGTTTTAGGGATGTTTTGTTTGCCTGTGACCATGTGGTTAAGCAGTATGTAATGTGAGACAGAACCATAGAAAACATGAATAATCTTGCGGACTGAAGTGATAAGTTGGATCTGATGAACCGGAAATTAGCTAGGTTGAATTTGACTTTATTGGAAATGTTTTTTATGTGGGATTTGAATGTCAGCTTTGAGTCTATTGTTACTCCCAGATATTTGTATTCTGTCACGATTTGAATTTTTTGACCGGAAACTGAGATATTGATGTTATCATATGAGGTGTTGGATTTTGAGAAGAACATACCAACCGTTTTATTGACATTGAGCTTTAGGCAGCACTGATTTAACCAATTTGTGACATGAACCATAGACTGTGATAGTTTGTCGGCAGCTTGTGTGGGGTTTTTGGCGTGTATGTAAATTACTGTATCATCTGCGTACATTTGAACATTTGCATGCGGGCACACTGATGGAAGGTCGTTGATGTAAAGTGAAAAGAGTAGTGGGCCTAAAACGGAACCTTGTGGGACACCGGTGGACAATGGGAGAAAGGGGGAGCAGTGATTATTGATCCTGACAGACTGTACGCGATCTGATAGATATGACTTTGTCCATTTTATTGTACTTTGTGAAAAATTGAATTTGCTGAGCTTTGAGATGAGTATTTCATGATTTACAGTGTCAAACGCTTTTTTGAGGTCAAGAAACACTGCTCCTACAACTCCATTTTTATCCAGTAATTTATTTACATTTTCTATGAGGTAAACATTTGCTGTTTCTGTGGAATGTTGCGCCCTGAAACCGAATTGCATTGGATGAAGGGAGAATTGTGTTGTGTTTAGATGGGTAGCTATTTGTTGAGCAATGAGCTTTTCTGCAATCTTGGAAACTGTTGGGAGAATACTTATTGGCCTATAATTGCACAGAGACATAGGATCACCAGATTTATGGATTGGGATGACGGCAGCTTTTTTCCAGATAGTAGGAAACTGATTCTGGGATATAGAATAGTTTATCATTTTAGTTATGGGTGGGATGAATACAGTGCTGAGTTCTTTTACCATAAATGAATCCATGCCAAAAATATCTTTAGTTCTTGAAGATTTAAGTGACCCTATCATCTGTCCAACTTCAGCCTCTGCCACATCAACAAAGGCGAAGGATGGTTCCAAGGTGTTCGTTGGATAAACAGTCATCTTGGTTGAGGGGAAAGATCCAGCGATCGCGGATACAGACTCGGAGAAAAAAACATTTGTTGCCTCAGCAATTATAAGTGGGTTTTTTAACACTTGTCCATTCACCCTAATTTCTGAAAGTGTTTTCCTTTTAGCGTCCTGTCCTACTAATTTCTTCAGATGATTCCAAATAATTTTAGAGTTCCCTTTAGCATTTTCTATTATGGTTAGGAAGAAATTAGCTTTGGCCCTACGTATACGATATACAACTTTATTTCGCAACGATGTGAACAGCTTTCTAGCAGTATTTGTCTTATTTTTCATTGCTTTTTTAAGTGCAAAATCTCTTTCCTTCATCAGTTTTAAAATATCCTGATCCATCCAAGGTAATTGATTTTTATTTTTATTATTTTTTTTGTTTGCTGTCCGTTGCTAACCGTTTATAGTTAGCAACGGTCTAAATATATTTCCATCTTGGCTCCCGGCGAACAGAACATGGACCAAGCTACGATCTAAAGTGTACGAAGGAACATGTCACGGCTGTTTCTACGTCCTCAGAGTCAAAACCCCCAAAACCCTCATGAAAATCCAAACGTGTGAAGCACAACAGTAACAAGTCTGGATCTGGATCAAGCAGAACGTTCCTCAGTCTGTGGTTCAAAGGAATCCTGGACCAAAAGCATTTGATCCTTAATGTTGAATTCTGGGATGTTTCAGGACACAGTGCGTTCTTGATGTGGGTCTTCCAGACGTGTGCAGAGGCTCAGTTTTCACACCGACGGCTGATTGTGGCGTGACGCAGGGGTGAGGTTCTCTCGCCAGTGTTCATGGTACATTTCAAAAAGGTTTCTTCTAAGTCCCGGTCATTTTCTCCCATTCCTGAGGAGACAAAGACACACGTTTAGTTTCTGTAGATCAGAGGCGTCAAACTGGTTCCTGTAGCTGCAGGTTTTTATTCCAACCAAGCAGGAGCACACCAGACTCCGCCCATTTCCTCAGGTCGTCAGGTTTACTCTCTAATCTCTGGAATCCAGGACATTTTATACAGCGGCCTGGCTTCACACAAAACATTTAACTACACTTTTCTAAAATATTTGTATTTGATTTGTCTTTGTTGATCTTAAACTCTCTTCAAGTTTCAGGGCTTTTTTCATTCAATTTCTGAAAAATCCTCGCAAAAATGATAAAAGATGAGGTAATAAATGCTTGAATCAAGTGTTTTTTGTCTGGGCTGTTAGCTGTCGAGTTAGCCACAGGACAGGTGTTGCTAACACACAGCAGCACTGTGGTTTCACAGGAGCAGTTACTACTTCAACCAAACTTTACACAAAACTTTGATTCTTAAAACCCAGATATAACATGGAACCATCAACATCTCGCCTCAAATTGCATTAAAAGTGACATTTGTGTGTTTATTTGTTGGTATTTAAACTTTTTACACAACTCCGTGTCCGCCATCTTGGATTGCTTCGGCTGCCGTGAGAGGTGCGTGCGCAGGTTAGCATTACATCATAAACAGCTGAGGCAGTGCATCTCGTCAAGGCAGTGTATCTCGGTGTTACAGCGGCACTAGGACGATAATTATGGCCGCCATTTTAGACGGGTCCAAGATGGCGGCGCTACGGCTCGAAGGATCAAAAAGCGATGTCGCTATGAACGCTTGGCCGCCACAAGCCAGTTATCCCTGGCCAGATTATAATGTGCATTTTTCACCATCGTATTATTTCGCGGCAAATTTAGACAGTTGAATTTAAACATTTTGAAATTGATAATCAGTGACTGAAAATCACAGAAAAAAACATTCAAATAGATGAATTCCGGTCCATTTAAAATTCAATTTCTGATGGAACAAATAATCTCTTTTCATTGAAAAAAAAAAATGAATATGTTGAATGTGAATATGTCATTTTGAAATTTAAAATCACATTGAAATTTGTAAACTGAATTTTTTGTGACTGAAAAGTAAAGATAAAAATATTCAAACATGCTTTTTCAGGGTTAAAAATTTGAAATGGAAAATTTCAAGCAAAAAAACCAAATCAAAATCTGAGGATACAAAAACTCTTCCATAGTGTAGTTCGTCTCAAGTTAAAACAATATATATGTTTTTTAATCATCTGCTTATAAAGATGTGCATTAAAAAGGACTAGTTACTATGGCAACAGTCCCTCTCTATCCTAGCAACCAGATCATTGGGTTCCGGAACAGTGTTACGTCAAAGCAACGATGACGTCACAAAGCCTAAAAAACTGGTCTTAGGGGAACGTCAAACTCAGACGAACAGTGTTTGGAGTCCGGAGAAACGGGTCAGAAAGCAACAGAGAAAAACCGAGATAGAAGCGAGAAAAAGACGTCCTTCAAGTTCGACGAGTTTTGAACCTACGTCACGCTGCAGTGAGAATGGAGATGATCTCACTGACCACAGAAGGTCAGGAGCTGGGAGACGTTCCCACTGACTCCACCCTGACCTCAAAGATGGAGCAGCAGGAGAAGAAACTGATGAAGATCCAGAAGTTACACCAAAGTCTGCAGCAGGAGATCCAGGAGCACATGGAGGGGATGGAGGTCGTTCGCACGGCTTTGAACCAACACATCTCTGCTCGAGAAAGTCTAGGGCGAGAGTTTGAAGCCAGAGAAAGGGAACGCAAGAGGATCGAGATGTTAGAACTCCAACTGCAGGAGTTTGAAGACCTGAAGAAGCAGCATTCTTGGACTGTGGAGAGAAACCTCAGTCTGGAGAAGGAGAAGAAGGAGCACTTTGAGCAGATGGAGTTTGTTCAAAAGTGTTTGGACGAACAGGTCGCAGCTTCCCAGACTCTAGAACAAAAGCTAACTGAGAAGGAACGTGAATGCAAGGAGGTCGAGGTCCTCAAACGCCAACTGCAGCAGTTTGAAGAGGTCAAAGAGCAGTATTCTTGGTCTCTGAAGAGAAATGAAAGTCTGGAGGAAGAGTTGGAATAAGTGAAGCAAAGTTTGGCCAGAAACGAGACTGAACGTAAAGAGACGTGTGAGAAACTGACTGAGCTGCAGCAGCGACAGAAGAAAGTGCTCACAAAGAGCTTTGAGGAGCTAAGGTCTGTAAAGCAGAGTTTGGAAGAACAAGTCTCTGCTCGCAAAACCTTAGAACAAGAACTTAGAGAAAAGGAAAGTGAATGCAAGAAGATTGAGGTCCTCGAACGCCAACTGCAGGAGTTTGAAGACATGAAGGAGGAGTATTCTTGGTTCGCCGACCGAAGCCTAAGTCTGGAGACAGAGTTCGAACAGATTAAACAGAACTTGGTAAATACTGAGCGAGACCTGAAGGAAGAACGTAGAAAACGGGAGATAGAAAGTGAGAAGTGGGAGATGGAGACCAGAGAGTTGGAGAGAGAGCTTCAGCTTTGCCAGAGTCGTCTTAAACAGATGGGAACAGACAGAGCGATCCAAAACAATCCATCCACCTGCGAAACACAGACACAGACTGTCACGATGCAGCAGCTGGACTGGATAGAAACAGAAAAGATGGAAGAAGAACGTCACAGTTTGGAGAAGTCTCTGCACGACAAAGAGGTGGAGTTTGAGAGTGAGCGGAGAAAGCTCAAAGAGGAACTGGAACAACCCCACGACAAACTGAAACAGCAGGAACTTTCACACGAGACGTTCTTACAGGAACACCTGGAGGAACTCAGGGTTTTCAACAAGTTCTTAGAGGAGGAAGTGGCCGTTCGCAAGAGTTTGGAGAAACAAATAGAGATTTCTAACCAGAGAAAGACGTGCACGTGTGAAATGCAGACGCAAACTGTGGAGCAGACTAAGCTTAAAATAAGTGAGGATTTAGACACGAGAGAAACCAGTGACGACCAACCTTTAGACAAAACTCTAGAACAAAAGCTAACTGAGAAGGAAAGTGATCTTAAGAAGATTGAGGTCCTCGAACTCCAACTGCAGGAGTTTGAAGACATAAAGGAGGAGTATGTTTGGGCTGTCAACCAAAACCAAAGTCTGGAGATGAAGTTGGAACAGACGAAACAGAACTTGGTAAATACTGAGCAAGACCTGAAGGAAGAACGTAGAAAACGGGAGATAGAAAGTGAGAAGTGGGAGATGGAGACCAGAGAGTTGGAGAGAGAGCTTCAGCTTTGCCAGAGTCGTCTTAAACAAAGAAGTGAGGATTTAGACGCCAGAGAAACCAGTGAAGACCAACCTTTAGACACCAGAGAAACCAGTGAAGACCAACCTGCTTCGAAGGAAGAAAGCAGAGGGCTCCAGGGAAATCTAAAAAATCTGACACAATTATTTGAGGAAAAAGAGGAGCAGGACATGCAGAAGCAGGGATCCTGTCTGAAGAGGGACGGGGTGAAGGGGAAGAACGTTGCAGCTCTCATGAAAATGTTTGAGCAGTAAGAAAACACAACGTTCTCAGCAGCACAAGTCAGACGCTGTCGCTGTTTATCACAAGTCTTAAATGTAGTCTGAACAAAGAGGAACGAGAGGAGGGTGGGACGTGGCTGTTTGGTAAGGGTTTAAGGTGGAGCCAACAGAAGAAAACACCTGTAAAGGTTTTTTAGGCTGTTTGGTAAGGGTTTAAGGTGGAGCCAACAGAAGAAAAGACCTATAAAGGTTTTTTAGGCTGTTTGGTAAGGGTTTAAGGTGGAGCCAACAGAAGAAAACACCTGTAAAGGTTTTTTAGGCTGTTTGGTAAGGGTTTAAGGTGGAGCCAACAGAAGAAAAGACCTGTTTAGGTTTTTTAGGCTGTTTGGTAAGGGTTTAAGGTGGAGCCAACAGAAGAAAAGACCTATAAAGGTTTTTTAGGCTGTTTGGTAAGGGTTTATGGTGGAGCCAACAGAAGAAAAGACCTATAGAGGTTTTTTAGGCTGTTTGGTAAGGGTTTAAGGTGGAGCCAACAGAAGAAAAGACCTGTTTAGGTTTTTTAGGCTGTTTGGTAAGGGTTTAAGGTGGAGCCAACAGAAGAATAGACCTATAAAGGTTTTTTAGGCTGTTTGGTAAGGGTTTAAGGTGGAGCCAACAGAAGAATAGACCTATAAAGGTTTTTTAGGCTGTTTGGTAAGGGTTTAAGGTGGAGCCAACAGAAGAAAAGACCTATAAAGGTTTTTTAGGCTGTTTGGTGAGGGTTTAAGGTGGAGCCAACAGAAGAAAAGACCTATAAAGGTTTTTTAGGCTGTTTGGTAAGGGTTTAAGGTGGACCCAACAGAAGAAAAGACCTGTTTAGGTTTTTTAGGCTGTTTGGTAAGGGTTTAAGGTGGAGCCAACAGAAGAATAGACCTATAAAGGTTTTTTAGGCTGTTTGGTAAGGGTTTAAGGTGGACCCAACAGAAGAGAAGACCTGTAGAGGTTTTTTAGGCTGTTTGGTAAGGTTTTAAGGTGGAGCCAACAGAAGAATAGACCTGTAAAGGTTTTTTAGGCTGTTTGGTAAGGGTTTAAGGTGGAGCCAACAGAAGAATAGACCTGTAAAGGTTTTTTAGGCTGTTTGGTAAGGGTTTAAGGTGGAGCCAACAGAAGAGTAGGCCTGTAGAGGTTTTTTAGGCTGTTTGGTAAGGGTTTAAGGTGGAGCCAACAGAAGAATAGACCTGTAGAGGTTTTTTAGGCTGTTTGGTAAGGGTTTAAGGTGGAGCCAACAGAAGAAAACACCTGTAAAGGTTTTTTAGGCTGTTTGGTAAGGGTTTAAGGTGGAGCCAACAGAAGAAAAGACCTGTAAAGGTTTTTTAGGCTGTTTGGTAAGGGTTTAAGGTGGAGCCAACAGAAGAATAGACCTGTAAAGGTTTTTTAGGCTGTTTGGTAAGGGTTTAAGGTGGAGCCCACAGAAGAATAGACCTGTAGAGGTTTTTTAGGCTGTTTGGTAAGGGTTTAAGGTGGAGCCAACAGAAGAAAACACCTGTAAAGGTTTTTTAGGCTGTTTGGTAAGGGTTTAAGGTGGACCCAACAGAAGAATAGACCTGTAGAGGTTTTTTAGGCTGTTTGGTAAGGGTTTATGGTGGAACCAACAGAAGAATAGACCTGTAAAGGTTTTTTAGGCTGTTTGGTAAGGGTTTAAGGTGGACCCAACAGAAGAAAAGACCTGTAAAGGTTTTTTAGGCTGTTTGGTAAGGGTTTAAGGTGGAGCCAACAGAAGAAAACACCTGTAACTGTAAATGTTTTTTAGGCTGTTTGGTAAGGGTTTAAGGTGGAGCCAACAGAAGAAAACACCTGTACAGGTTTTTTAGGCTGTTTGGTAAGGGTTTAAGGTGGAACCAACAGAAGAATAGACCTGTAAAGGTTTTTTAGGCTGTTTGGTAAGGGTTTAAGGTGGAACCAACAGAAGAAAAGACCTGTAAAGGTTTTTTAGGCTGTTTGGTAAGGGTTTAAGGTGGAGCCAACAGAAGAAAACACCTGTAACTGTAAATGTTTTTTAGGCTGTTTGGTAAGGGTTTAAGGTGGAGCCAACAGAAGAAAACACCTGTACAGGTTTTTTAGGCTGTTTGGTAAGGGTTTAAGGTGGAACCAACAGAAGAATAGACCTGTAAAGGTTTTTTAGGCTGTTTGGTAAGGGTTTAAGGTGGAACCAACAGAAGAATAGACCTGTAAAGGTTTTTTAGGCTGTTTGGTAAGGGTTTAAGGTGGAGCCAACAGAAGAATAGACCTGTAAAGGTTTTTTAGGCTGTTTGGTAAGGGTTTAAGGTGGAGCCAACAGAAGAGTAGACTAGACTTCTAGTTTATTCAGCTGTTTGCAGTTGTACATTTTCAGGACGTTCAAAGCCACATGGTCAGAGAGAGACGAAGGGGAAGGACTCTCAGCCTTGGAACACACAGACTAGAACAGTTCTGTTAGCAGCTGTAGGTTTTGAGGAGGAGAGTCCGACACCTTCTTCTCTGCTGCGTCTAAATGTTGTTTTGGAACGAGTCTGAAAACTTAAAAAACCAGCTTGGACCTCTTCACCTGCAGCTCTCAGCTTTATCCACTTCCTGCTCACAGCCTCTTTATGAAACCATCAGGACTTGAATAGATCAGACAGAGTCGGCTTTGATCAGGTTTGAACTGATCACAACACATCAGCAAAGAAAATACAAATAAATAAACATATAGCATTGAAAAAGTAGTTTTCTGAATGATTTCTCACACACACACAAACATTGTCGGTGTAACGCAGGTGTTAATATGAAAACCTATGTATTATCTTGCGTCATTATCTTTGAGCTGCGTTCGACACAACGTTCATCCAGTCCGTGTTCAGTAAAGCCGCTATGCCGGAAGTGTCAGTACTTGTGAGAGCAGAGCGTGTTTTGGATGTGCTGCGGGTCCGGTAACGCTTTTAACGGTCAAAGTCATTAGTAACTGTCATGAAACTAACTTCATTCATTTAATATGCAGAAGCCGACTGCCTTTGAGTCAGATGCTGCAAAACTGCTGCGTATGTTCGTTTTACAGGCGGAATCGGTGAGTTCGAGCCAACTTCAGAATTCCTCCATTCATTTGTGTTTGTTATCGTACTCAATTCCAGAGCATTTTTACATTGTTCTTAAAGGGGAGATTTACTTCCTGTTTCCCGGAGGACTTTCGCTGCTGTGTGACGTCAGGTGCAACCCAGCAATAAGAAAACTCTGCCATTATCTCACTGGGAGCTCCCTCGAGCCGACACTACATCTGCCACAAACACTTCACAAACTCATGCTTTTAACTCATTCACTGCCCATGACGACAAAACTCGTCATGTTGAATAGTAACGCTCACTGCCCATGACGAGTTTGACGAGTTTTTCGTGTTATTACACGGGAGGCTACAGTAATGTCTGGCGCACCTTGTGAATATAAAGGTTTTTTAGGCTGTTTGGTAAGGGTTTGAGGTGGAGCCAACAGAAGAAAAGACCTATAAAGGTTTTTTAGGCTGTTTGGTGAGGGTTTAAGGTGGAGCCAACAGAAGAAAAGACCTATAAAGGTTTTTTAGGCTGTTTGGTAAGGGTTTAAGGTGGACCCAACAGAAGAAAAGACCTGTTTAGGTTTTTTAGGCTGTTTGGTAAGGGTTTAAGGTGGAGCCAACAGAAGAATAGACCTATAAAGGTTTTTTAGGCTGTTTGGTAAGGGTTTAAGGTGGACCCAACAGAAGAGAAGACCTGTAGAGGTTTTTTAGGCTGTTTGGTAAGGTTTTAAGGTGGAGCCAACAGAAGAATAGACCTGTAAAGGTTTTTTAGGCTGTTTGGTAAGGGTTTAAGGTGGAGCCAACAGAAGAATAGACCTGTAAAGGTTTTTTAGGCTGTTTGGTAAGGGTTTAAGGTGGAGCCAACAGAAGAGTAGGCCTGTAGAGGTTTTTTAGGCTGTTTGGTAAGGGTTTAAGGTGGAGCCAACAGAAGAATAGACCTGTAGAGGTTTTTTAGGCTGTTTGGTAAGGGTTTAAGGTGGAGCCAACAGAAGAAAACACCTGTAAAGGTTTTTTAGGCTGTTTGGTAAGGGTTTAAGGTGGAGCCAACAGAAGAAAAGACCTGTAAAGGTTTTTTAGGCTGTTTGGTAAGGGTTTAAGGTGGAGCCAACAGAAGAATAGACCTGTAAAGGTTTTTTAGGCTGTTTGGTAAGGGTTTAAGGTGGAGCCCACAGAAGAATAGACCTGTAGAGGTTTTTTAGGCTGTTTGGTAAGGGTTTAAGGTGGAGCCAACAGAAGAAAACACCTGTAAAGGTTTTTTAGGCTGTTTGGTAAGGGTTTAAGGTGGACCCAACAGAAGAATAGACCTGTAGAGGTTTTTTAGGCTGTTTGGTAAGGGTTTATGGTGGAACCAACAGAAGAATAGACCTGTAAAGGTTTTTTAGGCTGTTTGGTAAGGGTTTAAGGTGGACCCAACAGAAGAAAAGACCTGTAAAGGTTTTTTAGGCTGTTTGGTAAGGGTTTAAGGTGGAGCCAACAGAAGAAAACACCTGTAACTGTAAATGTTTTTTAGGCTGTTTGGTAAGGGTTTAAGGTGGAGCCAACAGAAGAAAACACCTGTACAGGTTTTTTAGGCTGTTTGGTAAGGGTTTAAGGTGGAACCAACAGAAGAATAGACCTGTAAAGGTTTTTTAGGCTGTTTGGTAAGGGTTTAAGGTGGAACCAACAGAAGAAAAGACCTGTAAAGGTTTTTTAGGCTGTTTGGTAAGGGTTTAAGGTGGAGCCAACAGAAGAAAACACCTGTAACTGTAAATGTTTTTTAGGCTGTTTGGTAAGGGTTTAAGGTGGAGCCAACAGAAGAAAACACCTGTACAGGTTTTTTAGGCTGTTTGGTAAGGGTTTAAGGTGGAACCAACAGAAGAATAGACCTGTAAAGGTTTTTTAGGCTGTTTGGTAAGGGTTTAAGGTGGAACCAACAGAAGAATAGACCTGTAAAGGTTTTTTAGGCTGTTTGGTAAGGGTTTAAGGTGGAGCCAACAGAAGAATAGACCTGTAAAGGTTTTTTAGGCTGTTTGGTAAGGGTTTAAGGTGGAGCCAACAGAAGAGTAGACTAGACTTCTAGTTTATTCAGCTGTTTGCAGTTGTACGTTTTCAGGACGTTCAAAGCCACATGGTCAGAGAGAGACGAAGGGGAAGGACTCTCAGCCTTGGAACACACAGACTAGAACAGTTCTGTTAGCAGCTGTAGGTTTTGAGGAGGAGAGTCCGACACCTTCTTCTCTGCTGCGTCTAAATGTTGTTTTGGAACGAGTCTGAAAACTTAAAAACCAGCTTGGACCTCTTCACCTGCAGCTCTCAGCTTTATCCACTTCCTGCTCACAGCCTCTTTATGAAACCATCAGGACTTGAATAGATCAGACAGAGTCGGCTTTGATCAGGTTTGAACTGATCACAACACATCAGCAAAGAAAATACAAATAAATAAACATATAGCATTGAAAAAGTAGTTTTCTGAATGATTTCTCACACACACACAAACATTGTCGGTGTAACGCAGGTGTTAATATGAAAACCTATGTATTATCTTGCGTCATTATCTTTGAGCTGCGTTCGACACAACGTTCATCCAGTCCGTGTTCAGTAAAGCCGCTATGCCGGAAGTGTCAGTACTTGTGAGAGCAGAGCGTGTTTTGGATGTGCTGCGGGTCCGGTAACGCTTTTAACGGTCAAAGTCATTAGTAACTGTCATGAAACTAACTTCATTCATTTAATATGCAGAAGCCGACTGCCTTTGAGTCAGATGCTGCAAAACTGCTGCGTATGTTCGTTTTACAGGCGGAATCGGTGAGTTCGAGCCAACTTCAGAATTCCTCCATTCATTTGTGTTTGTTATCGTACTCAATTCCAGAGCATTTTTACATTGTTCTTAAAGGGGAGATTTACTTCCTGTTTCCCGGAGGACTTTCGCTGCTGTGTGACGTCAGGTGCAACCCAGCAATAAGAAAACTCTGCCATTATCTCACTGGGAGCTCCCTCGAGCCGACACTACATCTGCCACAAACACTTCACAAACTCATGCTTTTAACTCATTCACTGCCCATGACGACAAAACTCGTCATGTTGAATAGTAACGCTCACTGCCCATGACGAGTTTGACGAGTTTTTCGTGTTATTACACGGGAGGCTACAGTAATGTCTGGCGCACCTTGTTAATGACCCACAACACTGATATATAGTGCAAATGTACCTGTAATGATAAATCACCACCAGTAGGATGCAGTATTGCACCACAGGAGAGGTCATAAGTCAGTGGAGAGGAGGAGGAGGAGCGAGCTGCTGCAGCAGAGCGATGATAGCGTAGCATTGAGACGGATCAGCGATCTAGTTTAGCGATAGTATAGCAAGAGTGATGGCGAAAAAGAATAGTTATAAGCAGCTGACACTGCTTCAGAGATTGACTCGCGGATCAGTGAGTGAGGTCGAGAGGGGAGAGAGTGGAGACCCCGGTGGAGGTCCGTCTCTGCAGCCCAGAGCCCGGAGCAGAGACACACCTTCCGCCTCTCGCAGCGTATCAGCTGCTGTTGTTACTGATGCCTCGGATTCGTTCAGAGAACCTGATCATGATTTATCGGATGAGTGGTTGCAGTCTCAATCCAGCAGAGCATCCTCTCCAGAAGCTCCACAAAAAGTCGAAGGTAAGAACTTGCTAAATTTCCTAGAATATGCAAACTTGAGAGAAGGGAAAGGCGCAGAAACTTGCTCTGATCTGCAAAGTAACACAGCGCTCAAATCCTACTGTTTCTTTAGTAAATGCCAGTTATGTGTTTTATCATTGTTGTATTTATTATTTTTATGTTTAGTTATTTCATACTTGAACATCTTGTTGCAGTGTCATAGCTCTGACTAAATGAAATGTGTTCTCCATTCACAGATTCTGATAAAAGAGCCCTCCCCATTGGGGTTGACAGAGCATGGAGGTAAAGATGATTCCTCCTCATACCATTGTATATATTCTCCTGGTATAGTGATTTACAAATTTATATTATTTACAGGTGGTGCATCAAGAGGCAGTTGCTGTGCACAAAAAAGGTAAAAGGACTACTATTTCTATTCTTGTACATCCCATGGCAATATAATATAATAATAATAATATAGTATACTGTGTTTGGTCCAAAAGCAGTCAGTCGATAATGTGGGAGGAAGGCCTTCATTGTATTTTATGTATTGATTTATTGTAACAAATTCACTGTATAATATAGTTATTGTGTGTATCCATTTTCCAGCACGTTCGTCACCCAGAAGCTCTGGGGAGGATGGCTGACAGGAGGATCAGTGGGAGCCGAGTCAGTCCCTTCACAGGAGCTCCTGGACCTCAGAGGCTGCGGACAGAGGCTGCGAAGCTGGATTCATCTGATCCAGACTTTCTGGAGCTGGATTAATCTGATCCAGACTTTCTGGAGCTCTTCTTCACGGAGGGAGAACTACAAATGGTACACAGCGTGTCGTGCTCCGTTGCACACAGTGTTTCAACCTCTACAACTCAAAGCTGAACTTGCGGATTGAACTTGCGTGCAATCCGCTGCTTCTTGGGAGTTCATAAGTTTGTCCCTGTGCTGGCAGCGCAGGGCGATATGGGCTGGGTTCCTGGATCAATCCAAAGGAAATGTGAAATGGTGAGACTGTGGAATCGACTCATTAACCTGTCTGAAAATAGAGTAACAAAAAAACTCTTTCTATGGAGTAAAAATAAGTGTCCTTGGGCTGCAGAGCTCCGGACTGTCTTTGCTGATGCACAACTCCAGTATGTATTCCAGAATAATTTGTCCTGTAGTGTTAAAACCATCAGATCAATTTTAATGTCAAACTTTGAACACAAATGGTTGACTGGGATCATGGCAAAGCCAAAGCTAAGGACTTACTTACAAATTAAAGATGTATTTGAAACTGAGTTGTATGTAAAGGCAAACCTGACAAGGAACCAAAGATCTTTGATGGCTCAGCTGCGAACTGGCATCCTTCCCCTGGCCATAGAAACTGGCAGGTTCACTCAAGCTCCTGAAGAGGACAGACTCTGTAGACTGTGTGAGTTAGGAGAGATTGAAAGTGAAACTCATTTTGTGTTATATTGTCCACAGTACGATGATCTTAGAAATGTATTGTTTGGTGAATTGTTTGTTCAAAAGCCTGAAATGTTCTGGATCAGTGATGACGACAAGATGAAATGGTTGTTTACTTCTAATGTGTTTAAATTGGCTTCTTTTGTTTGTAAAGCCTGGTTGAGGCGGCATACTTGTTTGTTTAAATAAGTTTATGTATTGTATAGTGTGCCTATTGTCTGGCATCTGGTGCTTTTGTTGGTGTTACTGGTGTCTTATAAGCCCATTAGGGCTGGGCATACAGTGTGTATGTAAGACACAATAATAAAAACTATTCATTCATTCATTCATGAACTACTGGGAGGACTGAAAAAGCAGATAAACTCACTCATACACACACTAACGAACACACACACGCACTCACAGACACACACGCACTCACTCACACACACAGACACTCACTCGCACACTGACATTCACACACACAGACACTCACTCGCACACTGACATTCACACACACAGACACTCACTCGCACACTGACATTCACTCACACATACACTCACTCGCACACTGACATTCACACACACACACTCAAATTCACACGCTTCATTCTATTTTATACATCTATAGTTTTATTGATCTTTGTGTTGTTGTTGTTTGACGTTTTGGTTGATGGTATAGAAGAAAGTTAAATTTTCTATCTGTGAATAAATTGCCAACAATTTGCCATCAAAAGTATTATTTCAGAGTCATGTTTTTATAATTTTAGTAATGGAACAAGTGTGAAGATGTTTTGAGTTGTCACTAAAGCAGCACAAATGCATCTAAAAGTCTCTTTTCTGCTTAATATGTTCCTGTTTACATACAGCTCGTTTTCTCTGTTTTCTTGCTCAGACCAGGTGTTATGGGTGAAAGTATGCTTTGTTCTATGGCAAATAACGCAAGAACGGTAAGAGGTAGAAACAAACTGTTTTTTTTCAGAGTAAAGCAGAGAGGTTAATCTTTAATTTGGTGCCCTTTGTGTTTACATCGTCTAAAAAATGAATATTCTGTGGCACTTCAAAGTTGGGTCAAATCACCTGAAATTGCTGGCAGAACGCACTTCTCAAATCTGAAAATGCCTGGCAGTCAGTGAGTTTAAAACCATCCCAGAATTATTAGGAAGAAAAAAAATAAGTTTCATTTTTTTTGCTTAAAGGACAACTCACCCTCAAATCCACTTTTTTTTGCTGATAAACGGTATAAATGAGTGTCCAATAGTGTTGTCTACATATCCTGGTCATAATCTTGTCACTTTGGTGCAAATTAGTTGAAAGTTAAACTTTCTGCCTAAAACCGTCTGTGAGGCGCCATCTGCTGGCGACCTGTGTTACTACATTTGAATTTTGAATCTGGCGCCAACACTGGCACAGAAGTTGGACCTGACGTCAGCAGCCCCCCGCCCAGAGCAATTTAAACGGCCCAGTCTCGTTCACGCCCCCTTTAGTCCTCCAGGCTACGCCCATTTAGAGGAAGATTTTAACAGGAAATGTGAGTGACGTAAGCTCCGAGGAGCGGGGGTGAGAACCACTTTAAAGAACTTCTCACCCCCGCTCCTCAGAGCTTACGTCACTCACATTCTCTTTTCAAATCTCCCTCCAAATGGGCGTGGCCTGGAGGACTAAAGGGGACAGGCGGGGTGATTAGTGACTAAATCTACAATATTCAACAACAACGCTATTAACTCTACACAATTATCTATAATACAAACAGCTAGGCTAATTATAATCTCCCTAAATGCTATAACTAATCGCAAACCTGACAATCGATGAAAATACCCTGCTATTCCTTCTCCAACTCATACGGGGGCGTGACCGAGACTGGGCCGTTTATACCTCAGAGCGGGGGCTGCTGACGTAACGAGCCACTGCCATGGATGTATTATATTAACTGGATAGGGTATTACCAAGCCCCGGCGATCCAAGATGGCGCCCTATTCAAATGAATGGTTGTGCTCAGTGGCGCTTTGTGACGGCACGGGGGCTGAAAGGTTAGCGGAAGTTGCCTGAAACTCGCAAAGATCTATGGGAAACTCGCCTGTATTTGGGCATCGTCTGGTCCTCCCGGTTCTGCGCAGTGGATGATCTCCCATAATGCGTTGCGTCAAACACGCGTGTGTGGGTCTCACACCGGGTCTCACGCACGTGCACAGAGGGGCTCACGCACGTGCACAGAGGGGCTCGGCTCTGACCAATCAGAGCAGTTCATCAGAGCGGGAGTTAGAGCCAGAGCCAGACGAGCAGAGTTTGTGGCACTAAAGTGTGGATTTAAACAAAACCGAAGGATTTAAGAAGAAAAAAAGTTCAGGACGACAAGGGACACTAAAATCCCCACAAAATCCGACCTTTATGAAAGCTGTAGGTTCTCTGTCAGGTTCTCTGTCAGCTGAGGTTGAGCTGTTTTAATATGCATTGAGTTCTATGGGGAAAATTTCTGGGTAGCCCACGTGAATTTAGTCTGGTTCAGTCTGGTTCAGTCTGCAGTACCGCGAGAATCCCGAGCACAGACTGGTTGCCTCGCTTCTGTCAGTGTGCCCCAGGGCAGCTGTGGCTACACTAGTAGTTTATCACCACCGTGTTTGGAGTGAATGAATAATGACACATGTGAAGTGTCTTTGAGTGTCCAGAAAAGCGCTATATAAAACCGATGCATTATTATTATATGTGTATGAGACTTTTTGTTTTTGTAATGACCTATTGCTAATATGAATTATGAGATGTGACTAATGCTGGTCCTGTTCGTAACAGGCCAGGTTCCATCCATCGGTCCTTCCATTGGTCCCTCCAGTCCAGTGGTCCCCTTGTCGATGGCGAGCTGCCCCAGGCCCAAAGCCTAGACCCAGACTGTCCCACAGTGCGGTGGGAGGCGAGCAGCCTTTTGCTCACCCACAACACCTTCATCCATCACAAAGTGGACCTTTAAAGACATTTGATCACAGCAACACGCTGGTTATATGGACTCAACTTTACACCCTTACATTTATTGTATATATCTACTGTATATTTTTGTATATATTTTTCCTCAATATAATTCACATTTGTGCACCGTATCACTGTCTCTTTAAACAACCCCCCGACTCCACCGGGCGCGTCTCCGTTGACGCGCGTTGGCTGCTGTCCGTCAGCCGTCCGTAAAACGGACCAGTGGTCAAACCGGCTGCAGCAGCATGCAACTCTGGCTGTGCGTTTATCAGCCTGCTTTATTTTTGTAGGAGACATGTTTGGGCATTGTGTGAATGAATGAATGTTTGGCTGATGGAGGAGTTATGTATTGTCGGCGTGCATGTGTGCGTGAGCGTGAGAGCGCCCGTGTGTGTGTGTGTGGTGGGAGGCGTGTGCGTGCATGTGTGTTTGGGTCTGTGACTGCAGCGTTTATTATGATCCAGCCTCTTCGTTTGTTTTCTACTTATTTAGCGCATGATACACTTTTATCGGAGCCAACTCGCCTCTCTGCGGCTTTAGGCAACAGGCAGAGCTATAGTTTTAAATAGAAGAAGCGGTGTGTGATGTGCATGAGCTGTGGCTATGATCAGTGCAAAGCACAGCATATTGAAGCATTGAGGACGTCGCGATGGATGAGGCAAAACTTATTGAAAGCAATTGGAAAAAGGGGAGAGAGAAAAGAACTCCAACATATCCAGTGTTGTGAGATCTGTCTCTCATAAGTGCAGCTCTGTGTGTGTGTGTGTGTGTCTGTCTGTCTGTCTGGGAGCGCGCGGCGGTGAGGAGAGAGCGCCTCGGAGGTAGACGGGACAGAGCAAAAGAAAAAAGAGCGAGGTGTATGTAAAGATTAGCGTATTAACATTACGCGAAAAATAAATGGTAGATTTACGATCAGGAAACAATTATTTAAATTAATACATGAAAAACATTACACACGTTTGTTAATAATCATTGTCATTAACAAATACTTATAACCAAGGACTACAGCATATCAATACATGTTTAACAATGTTATTCCATTGCATTTTCAATGGAAAACGGACCCGACACGCGTCGACGGACGGAACAAATAGGATTGTTTCTATTTCGTCCGTCCACGTCTTTTGCACCCTCCGTTGACGGAATAGGTCCGACGTACGTTGGACGGACGCATGCGGAGGCAGTGGAACCACTTCCATTCACTCTCATGGAGATAACGGAGACGGAGATGAAACGGACATGTTTGGACGGATCCGTCGTCCGTTTTACGCGCCCGGTGGAGTCGGGGCCTTAAACACCTCTCTCTTGTGAGACGTACCTAACTTCTGGTTCTAGCCTAAGAGTAGTTTTGTTCCTGTGAGTAACAAAGAAACATAAGCATATTACCCATATATGCTTCATGGGGGAAGAAGATCTTTATCAGAATACAACTGTTCACAGAAAATGAGCCAAAGTCTGTTTGAAAAATCAATTACATTTTAAACTGAGCTCCAAGAATAATCAGACTCTTATGGCCCCTGGAAAAGCCATGTTCCAGCTTCTTCCTTCTGGCAGACGATGCCGTTCACAGAGATGCAGGACATCTCGATATGCTAACAGCTAACATGCTAACAGCTAACATGCTAACAGCTTCTTTCCACAAACTGATCAGTTTAATGATCTTTGTATTGAAACTTTTAGTCGATGGATTTCACTGGAACACATTTTTTAAAAGTACATAAAATAAAAGTACAATGTGGTTTCACAGCAAATTGCAAATAAAAATAACTCTGATGACAACAAAAGAATAGTTATATTTGAACACCAAAGGAACAGTTCCCAGACAGGACCACACCGGGTCAAACCAAACTGGGTCAAACCAAACTAGCCCAGAGCCATGTTCATGTGAGGCATCTGCAGAAGCTCAAGTATGTGCTCCACCATCACCTCCAGTCGCTCCATCTGTCACAAACACAGCTTTCATTCATCAAATACATAAACGAGAAATTAACTTGACTCAAAGTACCTGGTTTTTAAGATGACTGCAGCAGCAGCTGGGGGCCACCCACTCTACATTTCAAAAACATAAATTAGAAACTCAATCAAATGATCCTTAGAACTGAGTGTTTTGTAAAACAGACAGTTTTCAGTGATTTAGTTTCTTTTCTAACAGACCCTTCTCTGCTCCTGTGTTTCTGCCCAGAGACACTGGCTCCGGGGGCGGGGCCTCAGTTTCCAGCGCTGCACAGGGCTCTGGACTCGACACAGCTGTTTCTCCGTTTGGAACAGACCTAGGAGGTGTAGGGACTGGGGCCAGGGCTGGGACTGGGGAGAGGGCTGGGACTGGGGAGAGGGCTGGGACTGGGACTGGGGAGAGGGCTGGGACTGGGGCCAGGGCTGGGACTGGGGAGAGGGCTGGGACTGGGGAGAGGGCTGGGACTGGGGCCAGGGCTGGGACTGGGGAGAGGGCTGGGACTGGGGAGAGGGCTGGGACTGGGACTGGGGAGAGGGCTGGGACTGGGGAGAGGGCTGGGACTGGGGCCAGGGCTGGGACTGGGGAGAGGGCTGGGACTGGGGAGAGGGCTGGGACTGGGGCCAGGGCTGGGACTGGGGAGAGGGCTGGGACTGGGGCCAGGGCTGGGACTGGGGCCAGGGCTGGGACTGGGGCCAGGGCTGGGACTGGGGAGAGGGCTGGGACTGGGGAGAGGGCTGGGACTGGGGCCAGGGCTGGGACTGGGGCCAGGGCTGGGACTGGGGCCAGGGCTGGGACTGGGGAGAGGGCTGGGACTGGGGAGAGGGCTGGGACTGGCTCTGAACCAATTAAAATACAAAACCACAAACAACAAAACAAAGCAACATAAGTTCATAAATACATGAAAAAGATAAACGAAGGGTTAAAAGCTAAAAATAAAAAAGCCCTGATTAAAAAGCAAACATTTAAATCAGGGGTGTCCAAACTTTAGTAAGAGGGCCACATTAGTTCATAGGACTTGACCTGGGGCCGACAACCTGGATTTAAAAACTGGATTGGAGCTGGATTCTGGAATTTAAAATGGGTTCTGATCTGTCCTTATTGATCCACGGCTGCATTTTATGTGGAATGTTGTGACTCAATCATAAACAAATGTCAGTAAATAACAATGGAGTCAACAACTGGATTCTAGAGAATCTGAGATTTACAACAAGGTATTTCATGACTATTGGTGGAGCTGAAGTTGGTTGGATGACACTGTCACTTTGTGTTAGCAGCAGAGGGCCGCAGTTGGCTCGCGGGCCTGAGTTTGGACATGCCTGATTTAAATGGCTGATCCTGTCTCTACCTGGCACATCAGGAGCAGGAAGTGGCGTCTCCGTTGATGGATGGTTTCCGTTAGCGACAGAAGCAGCTACAGCGTACCCAGCAGAGATCAGCAGCTCCGCCATGTTGGCCTGTGGGTCGCTCACCTCATCAACTATCGACACCAACGCCTTCCCTTCATGAGCCCCAAGGATCACAACACGCAGAATACGATTGCCAATCCTTTTCTGCAGGGCCTCCAGGCAATCTTTGGACCAACTCTCTCCCGTCGGCTGCACAACTTTGGAAGACAGAAGATTAGACAGAGACATGTTTATTGTTAACGCTAGAACTCCCGGAGCAGTCAATTTGACGGCTTTTAGTTTTGAACGTGTAATGAGTGTAGGTTAGAAAATGCCACATTAAATATTTAGTGAAAACAGACACACCCTCTATTTTTTAGTATTCATATCAGTGTCTTTCATTTCAGGTGACATACTCATCCCGACCAGTAGATGGTGCTGTAGCGCGACTGTGGGGCCTAGAGGGACAGTGTAGGCGCAGCTCTCAGTATTAAAGAAGCTGTGTCCAGACTAACATGTCTCCCTTTGGTCTTTCTACAGCTCCAGGTCATTTTTAGGCAACACAGACTAGTCAGCTGTGTGCCGCTTGTTACCGCACAGCGCCCCCTAGGGCTGGCGCCGGGAACAACTGCATGGACTTTGTCTCTACATGTTGCTTATTTCCATGTCATTCCTTTTGTTAAATCATCTTTTACTTTTCAAATGTAAGTAGTTTCTCCATGTTGAAACGTCGGCTTGGTTTCCCGCCAGAACAGAGCGTGAGGCTGGTTACCGTAGCAACACACCGACTACATGCTAGCTTTTCACCAAACTGATTTTCTTGTTTGCTGTATTTCAGTTATATTGACCAACAATTATTGAGTAAAAGTAAAATCCTTAAACTAAGCTCTGGGAGTTCTACATACCAAGACCACACGTCATGGCCTGCATCGGTGTGTCCAGGAGAGACTGGGAGATGGGACGCAAACTGCTCAATTCTACATCTTCAGAGTTTCCAAAATCCAAGTAACCGACACACACTCGATCTTCTGAAGGATAGGCCAGAATCTTAGCCCGGTACCACTGCTTGTCCTCTGAAATGAAAGGGGAAAATTAACATGTTTGACAGCATTCATTTACATATTTAGTGTTATATACAATTTACAATAAAATGTATTCTTGTATAGCCCTAAATCACATCAGAAGTCATCTCAGAGACTTCACTAAACCATTGAAATCACCACAGGTCAGACAAATATATTATAGTAGTATATTAACATTTAACCCTTCTGTCTGTGCACCTCAGCTTTGGAAGCATCTGCCCGAGGAGAGAGACTCCAGAGAGAGAGACCAGAGAGAGCCCAGAGAGAGACCAGAGAGAGAGACCAGAGAGAGCCCAGAGAGAGAGAGACCAGAGAGAGAGAGCCCAGAGAGAGACCAGAGAGAAAGACCAGAGAGAGAGACCAGAGAGAGACCAGAGAGACCAGAGAGAGAGCCCAGAGAGACCAGAGAGAGAGCCCAGAGAGAGAGACCAGAGAGAGACCAGAGAGAAAGACCAGAGAGAGAGACCAGAGAGAAAGACCAGAGAGAGACCAGAGAGAAAGACCAGAGAGAGAGACCAGAGAGAGACCAGAGAGAGAGACCAGAGAGAGACCAGAGAGACCAGAGAGAGCCCAGAGAGAGACCAGAGAGACCAGAGAGAGCCCAGAGAGAGAGACCAGAGAGAGAGACCAGCTTCCTCTTTAAAATCACTTAAACTCACTTTATCAAACATCTTTTATGGCGACTGCAGATGTATCATTACAATATTTCACTGTATTTGTGTGTACTTTGTGCAGTTGTGTTTTTCTGCTTGTGAAGCTCTTTGAGCAGCAGGTGTAAATGTGCTATACAGATAAATGAGTCATAAAGTACCAGAGAACATGGCGCAGCACACAGTCCCAGGAGCAGGTCTGAAATGACTGGACTCTGGCAGTTTGTTGCAGTGATCTTTGAGCTTAAACTGCAGATCCTGGACCACTCCTTTTAACAAACACATCATTTACAAACAGCTGTGAATTACACGGAGCAGATGGAACATGACTCACTCGCATTGTCCACTTTTTGTACCACAATCTTTTCAGGCGTTTGAAAGTGCGAGACCACGACCAAGAAGGACTGGCCCAGAGCCACGGTGAGCGGCTCCGGGACCCGGGCCCACAGGTTGGCGTCTTTGCCGGAGGAGAGTCGTTTATAGTTATCCAGAGATGCACTCTCCATCGCAGCTACAGGAGAAAGTTATTACAGGGTCACCTTTATTTATATAGCGCCTTATCCCAGAGTCACAAAGCACTTTATCATTTCAGGACATTTGTCTCTCGCTCCACACACAGATGGGAAATGTTCGTTTCATGTTAATGGTTACTTCCAGGTTATCACGATCGCTTTTTAAATCAGTATTTTTGTCAACAAATTCTGAAAACGTCCGTGTACGTGTGTTAAGGATGTATATATACTGTATTGCCCGATTAACATTTAATGGTGTTGATTGAGCGTGGTTAGCTCGGTTAGCTTCTCTGCACAGACAACAGTGTGCAGAGAAGCTGCAGTGTAGAGACAGGCACCAAAAGCTTGTTGTACTTGCAGAGTAATGTTAGTATTTTACACACCTGAATTACAGACAGACCGTTGCCAAAGGGCAGCGGTCATTATTGGTTTGAGAGTTCTGTTATCAAGAAAAAAGTCAATGGAGTGTTCTACTGCTGCTGTGAGGAGCTGTATAATAAATTATAATTAAATATTCAAATATATTTTAATGTTTAAATTATTACATTCGGACGTGAAACTAGCAGTATTCTTTTACTTATATATTGTGTTAGCAGTGCGTTGCTTTAGTGCCATTTCATCAGTGATTGTTGTACAGCTTACAACAAGTTGTGCTAATGCTAATGTTAGCATACATGTCAGATCGCAAATTGAACTAGATGGCTCTGTGTTATGAGAGCGTAGGGAAATGAGAAGCCTGTGAGAGAGTTGGGGGCGGGGCTAAACATTCAAACTGCAGAAATACCTATGTCCTCTTCAGTCGGTGCCGTGTTGATGGTTCTCTTCGTTGCATAGTCACGCTCCAGAAGAAAGGAGCTCAGAGGAGTTCCTGAAACATGTTTAAAAATATTATTAAAACCAACTAAGGCCATTTCAGAAACTAATCCACCAAAACCGTACCATTGGAGAGCACCACCTCGACCTCGAGCATTCGACCGCTCAAAGCATTTGTCACTTTTATGGTGAATACCTTTCCTTCCACCAGCTGCCGTAACGATATACAACACTGATCCGACCAAGACTCAGCAGCGGGGACTAGAGCCATACAGCACTCAATCGCCTGAAAACATGAACAATAACCATCAGCAGCGGGGACTAGAGCCATACAGCACTCAATCGCCTGAAAACATGAACAATAACCATCAGCAGAGGGGACTAGAGCCATACAGCACTCAATCGCCTGAAAACATGAACAATAACCATCAGCAGAGGGGACTAGAGCCATACAGCACTCAATCGCCTGAAAACATGAACAATAACCATCAGCAGAGGGGACTAGAGCCATACAGCACTCAATCGCCTGAAAACATGAACAATAACCATCAGCAGAGGGGACTAGAGCCATACAGCACTCAATCGCCTGAAAACATGAACAATAACCATCAGCAGAGGGGACTAGAGCCATACAGCACTCAATCGCCTGAAAACATGAACAATAACCATCAGCAGCGGGGACTAGAGCCATACAGCACTCAATCGCCTGAAAACATGAACAATAACCATCAGCAGAGGGGACTAGAGCCATACAGCACTCAATCGCCTGAAAACATGAACAATAACCATCAGCAGAGGGGACTAGAGCCATACAGCACTCAATCGCCTGAAAACATGAACAATAACCATCAGCAGAGGGGACTAGAGCCATACAGCACTCAATCGCCTGAAAACATGAACAATAACCATCAGCAGAGGGGACTAGAGCCATACAGCACTCAATCGCCTGAAAACATGAACAATAACCATCAGCAGAGGGGACTAGAGCCATACAGCACTCAATCGCCTGAAAACATGAACAATAACCATCAGCAGAGGGGACTAGAGCCATACAGCACTCAATCGCCTGAAAACATGAACAATAACCATCAGCAGCGGGGACTAGAGCCATACAGCACTCAATCGCCTGAAAACATGAACAATAACCATCAGCAGAGGGGACTAGAGCCATACAGCACTCAATCGCCTGAAAACATGAACAATAACCATCAGCAGAGGGGACTAGAGCCATACAGCACTCAATCGCCTGAAAACATGAACAATAACCATCAGCAGAGGGGACTAGAGCCATACAGCACTCAATCGCCTGAAAACATGAACAATAACCATCAGCAGAGGGGACTAGAGCCATACAGCACTCAATCGCCTGAAAACATGAACAATAACCATCAGCAGAGGGGACTAGAGCCATACAGCACTCAATCGCCTGAAAACATGAACAATAACCATCAGCAGAGGGGACTAGAGCCATACAGCACTCAATCGCCTGAAAACATGAACAATAACCATCAGCAGCGGGGACTAGAGCCATACAGCACTCAATCGCCTGAAAACATGAACAATAACCATCAGCAGAGGGGACTAGAGCCATACAGCACTCAATCGCCTGAAAACATGAACAATAACCATCAGCAGCGGGGACTAGAGCCATACAGCACTCAATCGCCTGAAAACATGAACAATAACCATCAGCAGAGGGGACTAGAGCCATACAGCACTCAATCGCCTGAAAACATGAACAATAACCATCAGCAGAGGGGACTAGAGCCATACAGCACTCAATCGCCTGAAAACATGAACAATAACCATCAGCAGAGGGGACTAGAGCCATACAGCACTCAATCGCCTGAAAACATGAACAATAACCATCAGCAGTAAACAGGCTCTTTGATTCTGGAGTTAGTCTGTTTTGCGTTAATTACTACAGAGTTAGGCCCCGTCCCAATTCTCACCCTTGCCCTTAGGTGTGAGTGCCCTCACCAAAGTGCCTTCCCAGTGGGGAGTGCACTCACATCATTCTCCCTAAGAATTGGGACACCCCTGGATCTAGGGGACAATATGCAAATGACGCAGCAGACGAGTTCCACGTCACACACATGATCAAAGTGTGTGATTTCACCACAGATAAGATCTGGCACAGATATGACTTTATGAAACACAGTATTTACTTAAATGAGACGTTTTTAATTCTATTTCATATGAAGATTTGCTATAATTAGGTACAGAACTGATGCACATCACGCACTCAGACAGACGCACACACACGCATATGTACACACACAGAGCCAGACACACACAACCTGGCAAGAGCCAGATTGATGATTGTGTATAGAACTCTAATGCGTTCTCCACAATATCAATCTGGGACTTCTGCAGGAGAATCCTTTCGGGGAAAGGAGGGATAAGCAGCAGAATACTTCAAGCTGATTGGGCGAAGTGACGCTGTGTGCCCGCCTACCAAGGTTTGCCAAAACCCATAGGTAAAAATGCACAAACATCTTTGCCGTCCAGAAATGCACAAAGCGCCTCTCGCTGTTCATCTTTCAAAAAAGAAATTGGAGATTCTGCTAAAACTGACTTGATAGCCTCAGCTACGCGTCCGTCCTCCTGCGTAGCCATGTTTGTTTTGCTTCGGCCCGGCACTTCTTGCTTTCGTCAAACCCGGATATCCCGCCCTAAACCCCCAGACTGGCGCGTGATTGGCTTGAACACCTAGATGTTCTACTCGAAAAGGGTTGGCGGGAGCGGGACAAGATGTATTCTCCAGTGTTTGTGAACTCACAAATACTGCGAGAATTCAGCTTGCAGGTTAAGACACACACGCACACACAGACGGACACATGTACAAACACACAGAAACATGCACATACACGTACGCGCACAGATACAGTTACAGATACAGATACAGCACAGATACTAGCTTGCGAAAGTATTCGGCCCCCTTGAACCTTTCAACATTTTGCCACATTTCAGGCTTCAAACAAAGATATAAAATTAATTTTTTTTGTCATGAATCAACAACAAGTGGGACACAATCGTGAAGTGGAACGAAATGTATTGGATAATGTAAACTAACAAATAAAAAACTGAAAAGTGGGGCGTGCAATATTATTCGGCCCCTTTACTTTCAGTGCAGCAAACTCAGTCCAGAAGTTCAGTGAGGATCTTTGAATGATCCAATGTTGTCCTAAATGACTGATGATGATAAATAGAATGCACCTGTGTGTAATCAAGTCTCCGTATAAATGCACCTGCTCTTTGATAGTCTCAGGGTTCTGTTTAAAGCACAGAGAGAACCATGAAGACAAAGGAACACACCAGGCAGGTCCGAGATACTGTTGTGGAGAAGTTTAAAGCCGGATTTGGATACAAAAAGATTTCCCAAGCTTTAAACATCTCAAGGAGCACTGTGCAAGCAATTATGGCTTCCTGTGGCTCAAAGAATAGATTTTAAAACAGCTCTGCTTGTGTACAAGTCTCTCCATGGCCTTGCACCAGAATACATTAGTGACATGTTGGTGTCATATGAACCGGCCCGGACTCTGAGGAGCACAGGGACTGGCCTCCTGCTGGTGCCCAGAGTGAGAACCAAACATGGGGAGGCTGCGTTTCAGATCTATGCAGCTAAGATCTGGAACAATCTCCCTGAAAATGTGAGGGAGGCGTCTACTCTGTCAATGTTCAAATCCAGGTTAAAGACTGTTCTGTTTGCCTGTGCATACAACTGAAGGATTTTATCTCCATTTCTAATGCACTGCTGTCATTTATTTATTTTTTTAAATTTCTTGTGTAACTTTGAAAGTTTTAATGGTTTTATTCTTTTGTGTGATTTTATTGTTTTAATTGTGTTTTAATCTTTTGTGTGATTTTAATGTTTTAATTGTGATTCTGGTGTTTGTTTTATGTGATGATTTGTGATGTGGACTGTGAAGCGCTTTGTGTTGCCCTGTGTATGAAAGGCGCTCTACAAATAAACTTTAATTGATTGATTGATTGAATTATATTGAAATGGAAGGAGTATCAGACCACTGCAAATCTACCAAGACCCGGCCGTCCCTCCAAACTTTCATCTCAAACAAGGAGAAGACTGATCAGAGATGCAGTCAAGAGGCCCATGATCACTCTGGATGAACTGCAGATAACTACAGCTGAGGTGGGAGAGTCTGTCCATAGGACAACAATCAGTCGTGCACTGCACAAATCTGGCCTTTATGGAAGAGTGGCAAGAAGAAAGCCATTTCTCAAAGATATCCATAAAAAGTCTTGTTTAAAGTTTGCCACAAGCCACCTGGGAGACACACCAAACATGTGGAAGAAGGTGCTCTGGTCAGATGAAACCAAAATGGAACTTTTTGGCCACAATGCAAAACGATATGTTTGGCGTAAAAGCAACACAGCTCATCACCCTGAACACACCATCCCCACTGTCAAACATGGTGGTGGCAGCATCATGCTTTGGGCCTGCTTTTCTTTAGCAGGGACAGGGAAGATGGCTAAAATTGATGGGAAGATGGATGGAGCCAAATACAGGACCATTCTGGAAGAAAGCCCATTCTGGGCAAGAATTCCAGTCTCTCGATGTGCAAAACTGATAGAGACATACCCCAAGCGACTTGCAGCTGTAATTGCAGCAAAAGGTGGCGCTACAAAGTATTAGCGCAAGGGGCCGAATAATATTGCACGCCCCACTTTTCAGTTTTTTATTTGTTAAAAAAGTTTAAATTATCCAATAAATTTCGTTCCACTTCACGATTGTGTCCCACTTGTTGTTGATTCTTGACAAAAAATTCAATTTTTATATCTTTATGTTTGAAGCCTGAAATGTGGCAAAATGTTGAAAGGTTCAAGGGGGCCGAATACTTTCGCAAGGCACTGTATGTACCACACAGACAGACGGGTACAGCCGTGGTCCCGCGGATCACAAAGCAAACTGTGTCAAAGCGACGCTCTGAACTACATCATGGATCTATAATAATAACATGCACCACGTCTCTGAAGCTTCAGTGAACGCCACTTGCTGCAGCCGCTTCGGGAACAAACGTCACCGCACACGGCACCAACACACGGCACCAACACACGGCACCAACACACGGCACCGCACACGGTTTAAAAACTAACTCGCACACGCTTTGGAGCTTGCTCACGTTCTGCACAAACTTGTGCGCGGGTGTTTCATGTTTTATTTCAGTGTGGCGACAGCTGCTTTACCAACAGCTATCCTAATGCATCATGGGATCACGCTCAAAGGTGGTTTTTAGGGCTGTGAAGGCCCTCGCCTCTTCTCCTTAAGTATTGGGACACCCTTCCACTCCCGCGGGCACACGCAAACTCTAGGGTAAGTGTTCTTTTTAAGGGCAAGGGTGAGAGTTGGGACAGAGCCTTATTCATTTATCTTGTGCTGTGTGCTCCTCATTCCTACTGTTATGTCACTTGTGATGCAACACTGAAATGCCCCCGCTGTGGGACAAATCAAGGATGTCTAATGTTAATACTCACACAGGGGCTGAACTGCTGTAGTTCGGCTGTCAAAGGTTTTATTCTCACAAAGGGGGCTTCCTCCTCGTTGCCAAAGTCTATATAAAGGACATGAGCTGTGTTTTTGTCCACAGCCACACTTTGGATCAGACCACGGTACCAGTTCTACAACAGGAGAATAAATGACACAACACAAGTATATGTAAGATTCTCTTTAACATGATTGACATGTGGGACTTGCCTTGTCGCAGGAGTACTGCACGGCGCACACCTCGTCCACGTGGGGGGTGTGTAGCAGCGCCGTGGGGATGCTGAAGTTTATCTGGAGCTCTTTGGTGATGGACTTCAAACCCTCAAGGTTCTCTTTGTTTTGGGGAATGACAAAGAAACGTCCAGGACTATAAACCTCCACGACTGACGCCTGACAGATAATCACAGAGACATAAGATCATGAAGGTATTGTTGATTTCATTTTGTTACCTCCATTTCTGTTCCTTTGATCGCTCTTGTGGGTAAGTCTCTCATGTATACTCTCTGGATGCTGGTTGTGTCTGAATGCTGCAGCAGAATATAAGACAATAACGGTTACTAGACAATAGTTCTCAGTATTAATGCTGCTTAAAACTTACATCTAGACTATACTCCAGGAGCGCATCACTGAATAAAGTTTTTTTTAATTAAATGACAGAAACAGCATCATAATTATTTTAAAAAGTATTGTAATAATCACCGAGCTGGTTCTGCTTCCTCCTTTTTACACATGGGTCTGTGAGCGCTCCTGTCCTCTTTCTGACACACCACTGAGCAGTAGAACGTCTTCTCACAACCTTTACAACGAAATGGTGCTGTCGGGAACACACAGGTTTACAGTAGTGTCAGGTTAATTGGGTTTAAAGTATTAAGTAATGTTTAATTATATATCGCCTTTCACAGACCAGAGTCACAAAGCGGTTTACAATTGTTATTTTTGGGCATTTGTCTCTCACTCCACACAGAGACAGGAGCGGGGTCACCGAACAGGAGGCACATGCCAGACCTGTTGTACATATTTTTAGTGGTAGGGGAAACCGGAGTACCCGGAGGAAACCTACGCAGACAGGGGAGAACATGCAAACTCAACTCAGAAAGGCCCTGGTCCGACCGGGATTCGAACCCAGGACCTTTTTGCTGAGAGGCGAGAGTGCTATCCACTCAGCCACCGTGCCGCCCACATACTGCTTCTTTAAATGGGAGTTTCCTGCTTGTTCTGGTTCTGTCCAAGTCCTCAGTTGATTCTGATCTGTGTTGGTGATTCTGAGATGATACTGTTGTGATTTAGGGCGATGTCTAATAACCACCTGTTGCTTCCTTCAGTCGCTCGGCCCATTACACTGAAGGCAGCAGTTGGAGTCGGGAGCGTAAAGGGCCGGCTAGAGCAGAGTGTTCTGGGAGTGTAACATGGGTGTACCCCTTTGATCCTATATTCTTAATTTGATCTCAATAAGACTGTTACAGCTGAAATAAGGTTTATAGCAGTCAGGTCAAGAATGAATAAGCAAAAGAACAAAGGTTCTTGTATTGACCCTGTGAGTAAAGGGCATTCAGCAGCTGTTATGACGTAGTATCAGTAGAACACATGTACCTCGTTGGCCGCAGACTCTGCAGAAATTCACAACCGGAGTTGGTTTCAAGGAAGACATCTGTCAAAATAAGTGATGAAACATTATGAACTATACTTTTTTTAAATATATAACATTAATATGAAAACTTACGATTGTGTTTCCTCTGTTGGTAGGTGGAGTCACAGCAGTGCCTGGTGACAGAAAACTATGTTTAAAGATGCAAAGTAAAGGAGCGGGGTGGAACTTTTACAGGAACCTTCCTCTCCCTCGGTCCTCTCAGTGGCTCCACTGCAGTAGGACCACTCACTCACTGCAGTAGGACCACTCACTCACTGCAGTAGGACCACTCACTCACTGCAGTAGGACCACTCACTGCAGTAGGACCACTCACTGCAGTAGGACCACTCACTGCAGTAGGACCACTCACTCACTGCAGTAGGACCACTCACTGCAGTAGGACCACTCACTCACTGCAGTAGGACCACTCACTGCAGTAGGACCACTCACTCACTGCAGTAGGACCACTCACTGCAGTAGGACCACTCACTGCAGTAGGACCACTCACTGCAGTAGGACCACTCACTCACTGCAGTAGGACCACTCACTGCAGTAGGACCACTCACTCACTGCAGTAGGACCACTCACTGCAGTAGGACCACTCACTGCAGTAGGACCACTCACTCACTGCAGTAGGACCACTCACTGCAGTAGGACCACTCACTCACTGCAGTAGGACCACTCACTGCAGTAGGACCACTCACTCACTGCAGTAGGACCACTCACTGCAGTAGGACCACTCACTGCAGTAGGACCACTCACTGCAGTAGGACCACTCACTCACTGCAGTAGGACCACTCACTGCAGTAGGACCACTCACTCACTGCAGTAGGACCACTCACTGCAGTAGGACCACTCACTGCAGTAGGACCACTCACTGCAGTAGGACCACTCACTGCAGTAGGACCACCACTGCAGTAGGACCACTCACTGCAGTAGGACCACTCACTGCAGTAGGACCACTCACTCACTGCAGTAGGACCACTCACTCACTGCAGTAGGACCACTCACTGCAGTAGGACCACTCACTGCAGTAGGACCACTCACTGCAGTAGGACCACTCACTGCAGTAGGACCACTCACGCAGTAGGACCACTCACTGCAGTAGGACCACTCACTGCAGTAGGACCACTCACTGCAGTAGGACCACTCACTCACTGCAGTAGGACCACTCACTCACTGCAGTAGGACCACTCACTCACTGCAGTAGGACCACTCACTCACTGCAGTAGGACCACTCACTCACTGCAGTAGGACCGACCACTCACTGCAGTAGGACCACTCACTGCAGTAGGACCACTCACTGCAGTAGGACCACTCACTGCAGTAGGACCACTCACTGCAGTAGGACCACTCACTGCAGTAGGACCACTCGGCGACGTCATGAGAGTTTCGATTGCCGCATAAGCCAAACTCATTACGCCAAACCAATTTGTTTATCTTACATTCGTGACCGTGACAGTGGCTCAGTTGGGCCTGAGGTTGTGTGTTCGAGCCCACCACAAGACCTACTTCACGACTCCCACTGATGACTGCTGTCGTCGTGTCCTTGGGCAAGACACTTAAGTAAGTAAGTAGTAAGTAATCTTTATTTATATACCGCCTTTTCACTGCACATCGTAGTCTCAAAGCGGTTTACAATTGTTATTTTTGGGAGTGGTGCCAGTACAGGAGGCGCATGCCAGACCTATTGTACATATTTTTAGTGGTAGGGGAAACCGGAGCACCCGGAGGACACCTACGCAGACATGGGGAGAACATGCAAATTCCACTCAGAAAGACCCTGGTCCAACCGGGATTCGAACCCAGGACCTTCTTGCTGAGAGGCGAGAGTGCTATCCACTCAGCCACCGTGCCGCCACTTAACCCCACTTTGCCTGAAGCCCCGCTGGAGGTTCAAGGAACCTGTGGACTCACCACCTGCAGGAGGATCAGTGAGGGGCTGGTGCTCTGTGTACAGCTCTGACTGCCAACCCCCCCAATCCAGAAGTGGATTAAGGGGAAGAAAATGGATGGATGGACGTTCGTGACCGCTCTGGTTGTTGTGGGTCTTTTGAGTTTTCATAGTCTTGCTTTAGTTTTTTCAGGGCTTGTGTTGGAGTGTAATGAATCCCCAGTGCTTCGAGGTGAAGCTGATGTGTCTAAATATATCTTTTCATTTCGCTGCGATGCCTCAAACCTCGTCTGAATCACCGTTTCCAGTGGTGTCTGCTGGGCTAATGCTGCTGGGCTAATGCTGCTGGGCTAATGCTGCTGGGCTAATGCTGCTGGGCTAATGCTGCTGGGCTAATGCTGCTGGGCTAATGCTGCTGGGCTAATGCTGCTGGGCTAATGCTGCTGGGCTAATTCTGCTAGATGCCGGTTGTTTTGCTGCTTTCTGCTGGCGTCTGAGCGCCTGAGCTAGCTTTAGCCAATCAGCGTCGGGTTAACCTTAAAGGGCTCGACACACGGGAGGCGACAAATGAGAGCGATCAGCGAAACTCAACGCTGTCGCTCAGATAACATGACAGACGGGGCGCGATGCGGCTTGACGACAGCGTCGAAAAGTTGAGCCGATTTCAACTTTCTGGGATCGCGTCGCTGACCTGCGCGTGCACGATACATGCACGAGCGGGAGGATTTCACACGCACGTTTTTCGCCCGTCGCTGAGCAGGAGGCTCGCTAGCGATTGACGCTATGTCGCGCACGTCCCATTGAAAATGAATGGAGGCGATGCGATGTCGCCTCTCGTGTGTCGAGCCCTTGAATCCCACCAGGGCCCAACGAAGTAACTAGCATGGAGGATGGACCTAGCATGGAGGAGGGACTACGTTGGGCCCCATAAAAGTTCCTGTGAATGGCCCTGTGGGGAAAGTTCCAGCAGTAGACACGCACCAACGTGGCTGGCTCTGAAAAATTACCCCGAAGTTCCAGCGGTGGAAACACAGCTTATTGGTCCATGGTAGATTCCATGACACTTTGAAGCAACTGTGGTTAAAGTTTAAGTCATAATTCTAACTATGCACAAGGCAGTACTGTTCCACTGCATGTTTTTGAAATCTGAAGGCCAAATTACTGCCATATTAATGCAAATGTTGATTAGAGGTTCCTTTATGCAGTATAATATCCCATGTATTCTGTAACATCTCACACATTGTTCTTTTCATCAGTCCTAATTGTCAATCATTCTGGTGTGTTTGTCCAATAAGACCAGAGTTTTGCTCAATAAGTGGAGAGGGCGGTTTTTTCCAAAAACATGAAAATCCTCCTTTATACCTTCGCTTTAACCCCGTAGCACCCTCTGTTACAAATGTGACAAAGTTATGGTGAAAGAAGTCTAGATCTTTTTGATCTACCCAAAAACCTTAAAGGCACACCGCGGACTTTGTGACCTAAAGAGTTGACACATATGAGTTATTTTATATGAATACTTGGGCCAATATACAGCGCTTGACACTTGCAATGCTCCGAGCGGGGCTGCCCTCTTGAAATACCGCCCATGTAACTTTCGAGCAGACGGACCGTCTGCCACCAGGTCACGTGACTTGGAAGAAAGACTTGCTTTACGGCTACAGGCGCTGATATACTCATGGAGCTAAGGCTTTTGCTACTCATTTTTCACCTGCTCGACTCCTGGTCATGGCTGAGGCAAGGAAAAATTTTAAACCTTCGGAGGAGGCTAAAAAGAGGAAACGCGAAAGGGATCGTGCTGTAAGCTGCATGTCTGTATGAGCGCTGCTGTTCACCTGGTTCCTGGATGTCATCGACTGCAAAGATGTCATTCCACGCAGCACGAGCTAGACGCAGAACTCCCTCATCCAGGATATAGAAGTCCATGTGTGGTAGATTACTAATGCAGCGGTCTGGAGGCTGACCACAGCAGAGTCTCTCAATATCTGTAGGCATGTCTCTACAGTTTGAACACACACACCAGTGCATGCTGTCTGAATACACACTCAAAAGACACCGGCTGACTGTTTGTTGACTTTTGCGACAGTGCTGAGTTGCTTGTGGCCACTAGGGGCGCTAAACGTGAAAGTTGCAGGTCTAGCGCCCCTAGTGGCCAAGAGTTACACGGTGTGCCTTTAAGAAGCCATAATAGCCCAAAAATATGAAAATAGCACAGAAGATTTATTTCAACAAATATGTGTGGGTTCTGCATGGTTGAGATAAGTAGTTTTTGATTAGAATACATGCAGTACCTCCAGAGTTGCTGACAGTCTCAGGTGAGGTCGGTCCAGCCCCACATGGAGCCGTGGGACTGGACAAAGGCTTCCTCAGAGGCAGGTTAGGCCGAGCCAAGTTAGGCCGAGCCAAGTTAGGCCGAGCCAAGAGCGGGGAGAAAGCGGAGATCATGATTAAATCAGCGTGACTGACCTGAGAATGGTTCAAATGAAACATGGCATTAGTAAAAACACGTGTCAAGTTTATAGCTTATGCTAACAATGCTAACAATGCTAACAATGCTAACAATGCTAACAATGCTAGGTAGTTCAGGAGGATGAAAACCTTTCAGCGAAACTAGTCAAAGCTTTAAAACTGCAATCTCAGACGATAGATAATGTCTTAGAATATTTAAAATATACTTGTATACATCGAATTAGTAACGAATATCAGCAAGAATATGTTTTACGTAGACTTACGTTGACTCACGTGCTGTGGAAGATGAAAGAGAGGACCAGCGCATGCGCAGTGCACAGGATCTACGTCAACACATTGATCATCCGAAAACTGACAGGATCAAAGTTATTTATTTATTTAATTATATACTAAGAATTTGTTATAATAATCTTTTTTTGAGAAGTGTAATCAATGTGAATGTGGCCTAAAAATGCAATAGCAAACCTCAGACAACAGGGGGAGCCAAAGAGCCAACCTTCAGAATCAGAAAGTGCAGGTAACATGTGTCCACTGTCACTTTAGTTTAGCCCAGACACTGTTTCATGTGTCCAACATTCACAGGACTATGAACCCACTGAGCTAATGACTTGTTACTACTATAGTCTTACAGTATAGACTAGTACAGATTTATCTACAGATGTAAACATACACCTATATTTTTCTTTGCACTAAAGTACACAGCTTCATAGTTCATAAATGGGTACTTTATACTTTTTTATGGACTCATTTTCAAAGTAAAGAGTTGTGCCATATTTGTTCATTCCTACTGTTCTGAAACTGTGGGACTAATAAAGTACATCTTAATGTTAATGTGACGAGTTAGTGTAACACATGAATGTATTATATGACACTATCACAAAACAACACAAATAAAACTATTCTTTGAACAATGACAATACTTTAAAATTTGTAAAACTTTTAATTTTCTTGGTTTCTAATACGTCGCCAGAACAAGTACATTTGGCTTATGTGGAATTTGAGATGGTTTTGATTTCATACGTATCTTTGATTATGATATGAAAATAAAAATCATTATGAAATTAGGATGATTCCTTCTCCTTTTTTGTTTTATCAAGTTTACATGTACAAAAAAAATCGAGACATTTATGACAGAATCTGCTGCAGAGACCGCTCTCACAGAGGAATGTTTGGATTTGTCTCTCTCACACGCGTCCAAACACGTGACCTAATGCTGGATTGTGATTGGTTCCTTGTAACATGCCTTACTTCCGCAGTGGCCATGTTTGTTGATGTGTCGTTTCCCCGTATCAAAGTGACTTTTTGGGTCTATCATCTGGAATCATTTCAAAGTTAGCTGTAGCCTCGTTTGGCTCCGTAGTCAACCTTTCATGTGCTGAACAAAGTGAGTGTTTATCCAGTCGTTACTAACATGTTACTGAAATCAGACGATGCTAACGCTGAGCTAATGAATAGTTAGCATGCTACTAGCGTTAGCATCATTCGGCTCCCAAAACCATGACCAAAACACCATTCCAGCTGAATGCGTGGGATCAGTCTGTAAACTAACATATTGCTGAGAGGCAGGTTGAATGTATGTAATCTACGCATTGCACTGTTTATACGAATATGTCTTTGTCAGCCTCGTAATGTTTTAGCCAAGTTGGAATCTGCCTTAAAAATGCAGCCTAAATGTATAAACCTAAAATGTATGTATCTGACTTCCGGGTCGCATTCCACAAAAATAACTTCGAAAATATTCATGAATTCCTTCGTGGCATTTCAAGGTTTTCATTCCTTGGCTGTGCACCTGTCATTCTGTCACCATGGATTTTAAAGGGGAAGAGGGATGACGTATTTCTTCTGGGTTGTTCCATATATGTTATTCTTATATATATTAATTATTAATATTTATATATATGTTACACCAGTGTTCATGCCATGCTGATGATACTGATGTCAAGGTAGGGAGGTTACAACTGTGTTTTGTATGAAATGTCAGAACGGTATTATTGGTCCAGACACTTTAAATGCCTTTTTATTTAAATTTCACACCAAATTCACATGAACAAATAACATGAATCCAGTTAATCATGCGACCAGTGAAGAATGTGGAAGCACTGGTAGAGCTATATCTATCTATAGCTATATTTCTTGCACTAGAGTTGTGTAACTTAGAGTAGAATAGAATAAATCTTTATTGTCTGTTCAAAATGAGCAGATTTGTCTTACAACACGGCACAATTAAAAATCATTCATAAAACGCATTTAAAATACATTTATCAAACAGTAAATAATTCATGCAGTGCTACCGGTTGTAAAATACTCTTATGTGTTGTGTGCTCCTCATTTCTACTGTTCCGTTCCTTCTGTTGTTACTGTGAGACAAATGACAGATCTCTTTGACTTAATCTTAATCATTGAATTATTGTGTTTCTCAGATTTGAAGAGTGGGTAATTCCCAGAGCGGAGCCTCGTGTGGTCGTCATTCTATTACGTGATGGAGGCATCGGAGGCTCAGGCGGTTTGTGAAGACGGGTCACATCACGATGAGACTAATCCTGACAACGAGGATCGACTTCCTCAGATAAATGAAGCTGAACAGAGCGATCAAAGAGGACTTGAAGGAGATCCTGTTTCAGCAAACGCAGTCACGGACACATTTGTAGAAAACACAGCAGAGTCACCCCCTGCTTCTCCACACCATGTGACAGACTCGGACGATGGAGTAAACAAACCAAATGCATCTTCCACAAACAGTGATGGATCTTTCACCGAGACCGATGCTGATGTGATTTCTTCTGTTGGTACGACGGGAAATGAAGGCGACTCTGCGCTTACTCCTGAAGGAACATGTGAAACCTCATTAAGTGATAATATTTGCGATTCTTCTGTCGTTAAACCAGACGGCCCTGAAGTGCATTTAGCCATTGTTGATTCTTCTGCCATGAGCCAAGAGTCAAATGAATGTCTACAAAGTTCTCCTACCGTCTCTACGATCTCTACCTCTGACTCCAACACTATCGTTTCCTCTTCAAGTCCAGTCCATTCCAGAACTCCTGCCCCATCCCAGGCTTTGCCCGACCCCTTTGACACGGACTGCAGCCGAAACCTCATCTCACAGATCCAGCATTCATTGTCACAGGAGTCGCTGTTGGAGGAGCTAGAATCGGAGCTTTTATCCACCGAACACAAACATTTAAATGGAATGAACGAAAGAGCGACATTAAATGGACAGTCCACAGATCAGGAGGACTGCATGGCTGTGTTTGAGAAGTGTGTGCAGCAAAAGTACCAACAACAGGAAAAGGCCATTCAGAGGTACATCACATACGTTTTATTATTTAAGAAAACATAGCCACCGTTTAGTGCTTTTTCTGCAGAGATAAATGCTCATTTCAGGTGCTCAACCTCATTAGTAGTATCCAGAAAGCAAATAAATGCAACGTTCTGTGTGAGATAAAGGGTTTTGTGGGTGCTTAGGTTGTTGGAGGAGAATAAACGGCATCAAGAGCTGATTTTGGGCATTTGCTCCGAGAAGGACACCATGAAAGAAGAGCTGAAAAAACGGTCTGAGACGGAGAGGCTTCACATGGGGACGATTAATAAGGTAAAACTTAAATAACTAATACTGTATTCTGACAATATGTGATGATGGGGCCAGGTCTAACATTTAATTTATTATTTTATAGACATTGTTTTACCTCTGAATTGTGAAGTAAACTACTGCACAAAATCAGAGCTTATAGAATTTATAGGAGAACAGATAACAGAGCCTGTGTTATAGCAATTATCGGTTAACTGCTTAACTGAAATATATATTAAATGAAAAATTATTATTTTATTTTTAATACATATGAATTTATATTAACCTAAATAGTCTAGAGTGAGTTTTCTCGACACAGAAACATGTGAAATGAGTGCAGTGGAATCCCATATTATATTTATTTATTTCAACACCAGTACCATTAAACCATTACTATGTTTTTAAATCACAGATGCATTGTTTCACTCTGTAAAACATGTTCTAAATGATATTGAGAGTAATTATCACATTAAAAACCAGGTGTGGTCACGACTGAAATGTGACCCAACAAGTAACTCTCCTTCTCTGTGTCCTCTCTGTGTCCTCTCTGGGTCTGCTCTGGGTCTGCTCTGGGTCTGCTCTGTGTCTGCTCTGGGTCTGCTCTGGGTCTGCTCTGGGTCTGCTCTGGGTCTGCTCTGTGTCCTCTCTGTCTGCTCTGGGTCTGCTCTGGGTCTGCTCTGGGTCTGCTCTGGGTCTGCTCTGTGTCCTCTCTGTCTGCTCTGGGTCTGCTCTGGGTCTGCTCTGGGTCTGCTCTGGGTCTGCTCTGTGTCTGCTCTGGGTCTGCTCTGGGTCTGTAGTTGGAGGGACGAGTGGAGCAGCTGCTGGGAGAGTTGAAGGAGTCCAGAGACAAACTGTGGCAGCGGGAACAGGCTTCCAGAGCCTCGCTGCAGCAGATGCAGAATGAGACGTCCCACAGACTGGACCAGGTACAAGTCACACCTCACACCACTCTGAGGATGGAGAGAGACAGAGAGAGAGAGAGAGAGAGAGAGAGATCAATAGATAGATAGATAGAGGTGGAGCTCGGTTCAGACCATTTTCTCTGCTCTAGTCTGGACCAGTGTAAAACCATGAATCCTCTCTGCTCTGGTCTGGACCAGTGTAAAACCATGAATCCTCTCTGCTCTGGTCTGGACCAGTGTAAAACCATGAACACTGAACTGCAGCAACATCTCAGGCAGAAAAAAGAAAAATAACAAAACCCAAAATAACAGTTTCAGAGACACTTAGGACTCGCTGCTGTTTCCAGTGCAATCAAATTCTGCATTAATAACAATAATAATAATAATAATAATAATATTTGATTTAGTTCCACCCAACTTTGTCCTCAGGGAGTTCCTTCCTTGCTTTAGTTTGATTCTCTCACAAATATAAATGTGGGGATGATCTTTGCATATTGATCTGCTTTAACATTTCATATTTTCTAAAACCAGAGCAGTCTGTGTGCTCCAATCTGTTGTTATTGCTGATGTAATCGCGGTAAATGAATATTGCATACAAACATTGCTCCGCCCACGGCTCCCACTCAGGCCAAAGCATTTTGTCGACTCTTGCTTTTGACACTTTTCTTGCCGCTCACAATTTTTAATTTCACCGTTGAGTGAACAAAAGTCTGTGGAGTGTCGCTGTAAGCTCTTTTAGGACCCGCACTTATTAAGACAAAACTGAGTGAGAATTGGATGTTCTGTGTTTCATTTGCCGTGTATGTAGACAGTTAGATATTTAGATTTATTTCGGTCATTTTGGTGCAAACAAAATTACTATTTAAAAAACGGAGACTATCGCATTCTTTACACAGACTGAAAAGGCTGAAGCTTAATCTTTAGAGCATTGGCCTTTGGGCTGGAAGGTTGTGGGTTCGAGCCCACCACGAGACCTTCTCCACCGACTCTGCTGTCATTGTGTCCTTGGGCAAGACACTTAACCCACTTTGCCTGTAGGAGTGATGTGTCCATATGTTTATGTGTATGCATCAAACTGATTTTCCCCATTGTGGGACGAAAAGGACCTTCTTCTCATTGAAAAAAAAGAAAAACATCAGGCCATTCATCCATTAAGGATATTTAAAAATATTGTTATTGTTCAAAAAGCATGAAAAGAACATTGCTGTGTTTGGAGTGAAAGAAGAATGATGTGAAGAGACTTTGAGCGTCCACAAAAGCACTGTATAAAAACAATTTATTATTATTATTATTTTGGTCTTCTTGTGATTTCTATTTTTCTTTCTGTTCTGGAAAATATTGAAAGAAATATCATAGAATTAACAAACCTCATGCATTAATTGATGACTGTTAATTAGCAGCATTTTTAAACGATGGGAGTAACCGTAGCAACAGGCTTCTATCACTGCGCTGCCGAACGGAACGGTTTAACAGATCCTTTGTTCCTTCGGCTGTCAGACTGTACAACAAACCTGTTAAAAATATGCACTATTGTGAGGTAATTGATGTACTTATGTGTTTATGTGGATGTGTTTTCTGCTGCTACACGCCTGGATTTCTCCTACAGGGATCAATAAAGTATCTATATATCTGAAAGTACACAATATTGAAGCAGATCTGCAGGTCTGGGTTTTAGGCCTGTGCGTCTCGGAGCAGATGTGGCCTCATGAGTCTTAACAGCTGTTTTCAGACACTTCCAAACACTCCTTAAAACTAGAAATGAAACAAGTGTTAAATCCTTTTCCATCGTCCTCAGATGAACAAAAAGTGCGATGAAGCCCGACAGGAAAAGGAGGCGATGGTGATGAAGTATGTCCGAGGAGAGAAGGAGGCTCTGGACCTTAGGCGCGACAAAGAAAGTCTGGAGAAGAGGCTGAGAGAGGCTACGAAGGAGGTGGACCGTCAGGCGCTCAGAGGGAACCAGCTGGCCCAGGACAAGGGCCGGCTGCAGCAGGTCTATGAGGCCAAGGTAATGTGTCGTTCTGTTATGGTTCATTTCCATGTTATTGTGCCTCAGTATTCTCAGGAATTCTCTTTTAGTGGAAATGGGGCAGATCGAGCGTCAGTCTCAAAGTGCTGTCATTTTGATTGATTGGATTTACAGCAATTACATATTATTCACGATAGATAGAAACATACATACGCACAAAGGTAAAGGTTCATCCTCTGCATTTGACCCTGATGCCACTAAAGCTAACATCAGGAGCAGAGGTCGCCGTAGTAACAATGCCCGGGAACCATCTCCAGATGTGGATGGTCTGGGTCAGGGCCGGAGCTGGAGGATTTGACCATTTGTACATGTTTTTAGTGATAGGGGAAACCGGAGCAACCAGGAGAACATGCAAACTCCACTCAGAAAGGCCCTGTTCCGTCTGGAACTCGAAGCCAGAACATTCTTGCTGAGAAGCGAGAGTGCTAACCACTCAGCCACCATACAAATACACATACAGTATATACATACATACAGACATGACCATAGTTATAAATAAAACTTGACTCTTATCCTCATACTCTGCAAATATAAAGCAGTGACGTAATCTATGAAATCTAGAAAAACAAAACACTGGGTCTATTTTTCCACTAAACCAGGATAAAGCAGTGATTTTCCTGCAGGGCTGACCGTGTGGTTGGATGTACCTCCTTTAGCACCTGTATCAAACCACTTTTATATTTTGACCATCTGTTCTTGTACCTTTCAGGAAGGGGAAGCCAACAGACTCGCTCGGGAAGTGGAGAAATTAAAAGAAGAGATCAACTCTCATCTCATCAAAGTCAAATGGGCACAGAATAAACTGAAGAGTGAAGCGGACGCACACAAGGTAATGAAAACATACTCTCCAGTATTCAGTAAACAGAGGCAAAGGCATGTTGTTTACTGCCATTTGGATCATTTTGCTCTAAACGAAGCGTAGGCGCAAATGGCTGCAATATTTCAGCCTCTCAGTAATAATCATTAGGTCCCGTGCATAACGAATCATGCTTTTATGGTAATGGGATTCTAGCAGATGCGGGTTCCTGAAGGACACTTGTTTAAAGTCATGTTCCCCACAGTAATGCATGTGTTCATCTCTGTAATGCATGTGTTCATCTGTAATGCATGTGTTCATCTGTAATGCATGGGTTCATCTGTAATGCATGTGTTCATCTCTGTAATGCATGTGTTCATCTCTGTAATGCATGTGTTCATCTCTGTAATGCGTGTGTTCAGCTCTGTAATGCATGTGTTCATCTCTGTAATGCATGTGTTCATCTCTAATGCATGTGTTCATCTCTGTAATGCATGTGTTCATCTGTAATGCATGTGTTCATCTGTAATGCATGTGTTCATCTCTGTAATGCATGTGTTCATCTCTGTAATGCATGGGTTCATCTGTAATGCATGGGTTCAGCTCTGTAATGCATGTGTTCATCTCTGTAATGCATGTGTTCATCTCTAATGCGTGTGTTCATCTCTGTAATGCATGTGTTCATCTCTAATGCGTGTGTTCATCTCTGTAATGCATGTGTTCATCTCTGTAATGCATGTATTCATCTCTAATGTGTGTGTTCATCTCTGTAATGCATGTGTTCATCTCTGTAATGCATGTGTTCATCTCTAATGCGTGTGTTCATCTCTAATGCGTGTGTTCATCTCTAATGCGTGTGTTCATCTCTGTAATGCATGTGTTCATCTCTGTAATGCATGTGTTCATCTCTATAATGCGTGTGTTCATCTCTGTAATGCATGTGTTCATCTCTGTAATGCGTGTGTTCATCTCTAATGCGTGTGTTCATCTCTGTAATGCATGTGTTCATCTCTGTAATGCGTGTGTTCATCTCTGTAATGCATGTGTTCATCTCTAATGCGTGTGTTCATCTCTGTAATGCGTGCGTTCATCTCTGTAATGCATGTGTTCATCTCTGTAATGGATGTGTTCATCTCATGCGTGTGTTCATCTCGTACGTGTGCTCATCTCTGTAATGCATGTGTTCATCTCATGCGTGTGTTCATCTGTAATGCGTGTGTTCATCTCTGTAATGGGTGCGTTCATCTCTGTAATGCGTGTGTTCATCTCTGTAATGCGTGTGTTCATCTCTGTAATGCATGTGTTCATCTCATGCGTGTGTTCATCTCATACGTGTGCTCATCTCTGTAATGCATGTGTTCATCTCATACGTGTGTTCATCTCTGTAATGCATGTGCTCATCTCTGTAATGCATGTGTTCATCTCATGCGTGTGTTTATCTCATACGTGTGCTCATCTCTGTAATGCATGTGTTCATCTCATGCGTGTGTTCATCTCTGTAATGCGTGTGTTCATCTTTGTAGTGCATGTGTTCATTCTGTAATGCATGTGTTCATCTCTGTAATGCATGTGTTCATCTCTGTAATGCATGTGTTCATCTCTAATGCGTGTGTTCATCTCTGCAATGCGTGTGTTCATCTCTGTAATGCAGTGTGTTCATCTCTGTAATGCATGTGTTCATCTCTGTAATGCATGTGTTCATCTCTGTAATGCATGTGTTCATCTCTAATGCGTGTGTTCATCTCTGTAATGCGTGTGTTCATCTCTGTAATGCATGTGTTCATCTCTGTAATGCATGTGTTCATCTCTGTAATGCATGCGTTCATCTCTGTAATGCATGCGTTCATCTCTGTAATGCATGTGTTCATCTCTGTAATGCATGTGTTCATCTCTGTAATGCATGTGTTCATCTCTGTAATGCATGTGTTCATCTCTGTAATGCATGTGTTCATCTCTGTAATGCATGTGTTCATTTCTGTAATGCATGTGTTCATCTCTGTAATGCAGTGTGTTCATCTGTAATGCGTGTGTTCATCTCTAATGCATGTGTTTATCTCTGTAATGCGTGTGTTCATCTCTAATGCATGTGTCCATCTCTGTAATGCATGTGTCCATCTCTGTAATGCATGTGTTCATCTCTGTAATGCATGTGTTCATCTCTAATGCATGTGTTCATCTCTGTAGTGCATGTGTTCATCTCTGTAGTGCATGTGTTCATCTCTGTAATGCATGTGTTCATCTCTGTAATGCATGTGTTCATCTCTGTAATGCATGTGTTCATCTCTGTAATGCATGTGTTCATCTCTAATGCGTGTGTTCATCTCTGCAATGCGTGTGTTCATCTCTGTAATGCAGTGTGTTCATCTCTGTAATGCATGTGTTCATCTCTGTAATGCATGTGTTCATCTCTGTAATGCATGTGTTCATCTCTAATGCGTGTGTTCATCTCTGCAATGCGTGTGTTCATCTCTGTAATGCAGTGTGTTCATCTCTGTAATGCATGTGTTCATCTCTGTAATGCATGTGTTCATCTCTGTAATGCATGTGTTCATCTCTATAATGCCTGTGTTCATCTCTGTAATGCATGTCTTCATCTCTAATGCATGTGTTCATCTCTGTAATGCATGTCTTCATCTCTAATGCATGTGTTCATCTCTGTAATGCATGTGTTCATCTCTAATGCATGTGTTCATCGCTGTAATGCATGTGTTCATCTCTGTAATGCATGTGTTCATCTCTAATGCATGTGTTCATCTCTGTAATGCATGTGTTCATCTCTGTAATGCATGTGTTCATCTCTGTAATGCATGTGTTCATCTCTGTGCAGGAAACTAAAGACAAGCTCAGGGAGACCACGTCCAAACTGTCTCAGGCAAAAGAAGAGACCGAGCAGATCCGGAAGAACTGCCAGGACATGATCCGCACATATCAGGTCTGTGCCGGGCCTCACTCTGTCTGTGCCGCTGTGCCGGGCCTCACTCTGTCTGTGCCGGTCCTCACTCTGTCTGTGTCTGTGCCGGTCCTCACTCTGTCTGTGCCGGTCCTCACTCTGTCTGTGCCGCTGTGCCGGTCCTCACTCTGTCTGTGCCGCTGTGCCGGTCCTCACTCTGTCTGTGCCGCTGTGCCGGTCCTCACTCTGTCTGTGCCGCTGTGCCGGTCCTCACTCTGTCTGTGCCGGTCCTCACTCTGTCTGTGTCTGTGCCGGTCCTCACTCTGTCTGTGCCGGGCCTCACTCTGTCTGTGCCGACAGCAGCCCTTTAAAAGTAGCTCTGTTTTTTTTTCCTGGGAAAGTAGCTCTCTGCCTTTATTGTCCTGGGAAAGTAGCTCTCTGCCTTTATCATCCCGGGAAAGTAGCTCTCTGCCTTTATTGTCCTGGGAAAGTAGCTCTCTGCTTTTATCGTCCTGGGAAAGTAGCTCTCTGCCTTTATCGTCCTGGGAAAGTAGCTCTCTGCCTTTATTGTCCTGGGAAAGTAGCTCTCTGCTTTTATCGTCCTGGGAAAGTAGCTCTCTGCCTTTATCGTCCTGGGAAAGTAGCTCTCTGCTTTTATCGTCCTGGGAAAGTAGCTCTCTGCTTTTATCGTCCTGGGAAAGTAGCTCTCTGTCTTTATCGTCCTGGGAAAGTAGCTCTCTGCCTTTATTGTCCTGGGAAAGTAGCTCTCTGCCTTTATTGTCCTGGGAAAGTAGCTCTCTGCCTTTATTGTCCTGGGAAAGTAGCTCTCTTTCTTTATCGTCCTGGGAAAGTAGCTCTCTTTCTTTATCGTCCCGGGAAAGTAGCTCTTTGTCTTTATCGTCCCGGGAAAGTAGCTCTCTGCCTTTATCGTCCCGGGAAAGTAGCTCTCTTTCTTTATCGTCCCGGGAAAGTAGCTCTCTGTTTTTATCGTCCCGGGAAAGTAGCTCTCTGCTTTCATCGTCCTGGGAAAGTAGCTCTCTGTCTTTATCGTCCTGGGAAAGTAGCTCTTTGTCTTTGTCGTCCCGGGAAAGTAGCTCTCTGTCTTTATCGTCCCGGGAAAGTAGCTCTCTGCTTTCATCGTCCTGGGAAAGTAGCTCTCTGTCTTTATCGTCCTGGGAAAGTAGCTCTCTGTCTTTATCGTCCTGGGAAAGTAGCTCTCTGTCTTTATCGTCCCGGGAAAGTAGCTCTCTGCTTTCATCGTCCTGGGAAAGTAGCTCTCTGTCTTTATCGTCCTGGGAAAGTAGCTCTCTGTCTTTATCGTCCTGGGAAAGTAGATTTCTGCCTTTATCGTCCTGGGAAAGTAGCTCTCTGTCTTTATCGTCCTGGGAAAGTAGCTCTCTGCCTTTTTCGTCCCGGGAAAGTTTCTCTCTGTCTTTATCGTCCCGGGAAAGTAGCTCTCTGCCTTTATCGTCCCGGGATAGTAGCTCTCTGTCTTTATCGTCCCGGGGAAGTAGCTCTCTGTCTTTATCGTCCCGGGGAAGTAGCTCTCTGCTTTTATCGTCCTGGGAAAGCAACTCTCTGTCTTTATTGTCCCGGGAAAGTAGCTCTCTGCCTTTATCGTCCCGGGAAAGTAGCTCTTTGTCTTTGTCGTCCCGGGAAAGTAGCTCTCTGTCTTTATTGTCCCGGGAAAGTAGCTCTCTGCATTTATCGTCCTGGGAAAGCAACTCTCTGTCTTTATCGTCCCGGGAAAGTAGCTCTCTGCCTTTATCGTCCCGGGAAAGTAGCTCTTTGTCTTTGTCGTCCCGGGAAAGTAGCTCTTTGTCTTTATCGTCCTGGGAAAGTAGCTCTCTGTCTTTATCGTCCTGGGAAAGTAGCTCTCTGCCTTTTTCGTCCCGGGAAAGTTTCTCTCTGTCTTTATCGTCCCGGGAAAGTAGCTCTCTGCCTTTATCGTCCCAGGATAGTAGCTCTCTGTCTTTATCGTCCCGGGGAAGTAGCTCTCTGTCTTTATCGTCCCGGGGAAGTAGCTCTCTGCTTTTATCGTCCTGGGAAAGCAACTTTCTGTCTTTATTGTCCCGGGAAAGTAGCTCTCTGCCTTTATCGTCCCGGGAAAGTAGCTCTTTGTCTTTGTCGTCCCGGGAAAGTAGCTCTTTGTCTTTATCGTCCCGGGAAAGTAGCTCTCTGCCTTTATCGTCCCGGGAAAGTAGCTCTCTTTCTTTATCGTCCCCGGGAAAGTAGCTCTCTGTTTTTATCGTCCCGGGAAAGTAGCTCTCTGCTTTCATCGTCCTGGGAAAGTAGCTCTCTGTCTTTATCGTCCTGGGAAAGTAGCTCTTTGTCTTTGTCGTCCCGGGAAAGTAGCTCTCTGTCTTTATCGTCCCGGGAAAGTAGCTCTCTGCTTTCATCGTCCTGGGAAAGTAGCTCTCTGTCTTTATCGTCCTGGGAAAGTAGCTCTCTGTCTTTATCGTCCTGGGAAAGTAGCTCTCTGTCTTTATCGTCCCGGGAAAGTAGCTCTCTGCTTTCATCGTCCTGGGAAAGTAGCTCTCTGTCTTTATCGTCCTGGGAAAGTAGTAGCTCTCTGTCTTTATCGTCCTGGGAAAGTAGATTTCTGCCTTTATCGTCCTGGGAAAGTAGCTCTCTGTCTTTATCGTCCTGGGAAAGTAGCTCTCTGCCTTTTTCGTCCCGGGAAAGTTTCTCTCTGTCTTTATCGTCCCGGGAAAGTAGCTCTCTGCCTTTATCGTCCCGGGATAGTAGCTCTCTGTCTTTATCGTCCCGGGGAAGTAGCTCTCTGTCTTTATCGTCCCGGGGAAGTAGCTCTCTGCTTTTATCGTCCTGGGAAAGCAACTCTCTGTCTTTATTGTCCCGGGAAAGTAGCTCTCTGCCTTTATCGTCCCGGGAAAGTAGCTCTTTGTCTTTGTCGTCCCGGGAAAGTAGCTCTCTGTCTTTATTGTCCCGGGAAAGTAGCTCTCTGCATTTATCGTCCTGGGAAAGCAACTCTCTGTCTTTATCGTCCCGGGAAAGTAGCTCTCTGCCTTTATCGTCCCGGGAAAGTAGCTCTTTGTCTTTGTCGTCCCGGGAAAGTAGCTCTTTGTCTTTATCGTCCTGGGAAAGTAGATTTCTGCCTTTATCGTCCTGGGAAAGTAGCTCTCTGTCTTTATCGTCCTGGGAAAGTAGCTCTCTGCCTTTTTCGTCCCGGGAAAGTTTCTCTCTGTCTTTATCGTCCCGGGAAAGTAGCTCTCTGCCTTTATCGTCCCAGGATAGTAGCTCTCTGTCTTTATCGTCCCGGGGAAGTAGCTCTCTGTCTTTATCGTCCCGGGGAAGTAGCTCTCTGCTTTTATCGTCCTGGGAAAGCAACTTTCTGTCTTTATTGTCCCGGGAAAGTAGCTCTCTGCCTTTATCGTCCCGGGAAAGTAGCTCTCTGCCTTTATCGTCCCGGGAAAGTAGCTCTTTGTCTTTGTCGTCCCGGGAAAGTAGCTCTTTGTCTTTATCGTCCTGGGAAAGTAGATTTCTGCCTTTATCGTCCTGGGAAAGTAGCTCTCTGTCTTTATCGTCCTGGGAAAGTAGCTCTCTGCCTTTTTCGTCCCGGGAAAGTTTCTCTCTGCCTTTATCGTCCTGGGAAAGTAGCTCTCTGTCTTTATCGTCCCGGGGAAGTAGCTCTCTGCTTTTATCGTCCTGGGAAAGCAACTTTCTGTCTTTATTGTCCCGGGAAAGTAGCTCTCTGCCTTTATCGTCCCGGGAAAGTAGCTCTTTGTCTTTGTCGTCCCGGGAAAGTAGCTCTTTGTCTTTGTCGTCCCGGGAAAGTAGCTCTTTGTCTTTATCGTCCCGGGAAAGTAGCTCTCTGCCTTTATCGTCCCGGGAAAATAGCTCTTTGTCTTTATCGTCCCGGGAAAGTAGCTCTCTGTCTTTATCGTCCCGGGGAAGTAGCTCTCTGTCTTTATCGTCCCGGGGAAGTAGCTCTCTGCTTTTATTGTCCTGGGAAAGTAGCTCTCTGCCTTTATCGTCCTGGGAAAGTAGCTCTCTGGGTGATACAGGTTGGAGACCCCTGGCTTAGTCTCATTGGAGAAGTTTGAAGTCAGAATGGGCTCAAATGGAGATTAAAAAACCAGATTAAAGCAGTTATTAGTTGAGTGTATGATTAAATGATTAATTGACCTACTTCTTTGTGGGCGCAGTTTTCCGTCGCACCTTTTGACGGCGCTAAAGAGCTATCTCCAAAGTCTCTGCTTGACTTTGATCTGAACTCTTTAGAATATGTGTATTTACAGATACATTAGTGCAGTGTGATCTTTACTTGTTTCTGTGATGGAAAACAGTGTTACATGTTTTCACTGTCATCATTGAACTCTATTGAAAACACAGACGGAAAAAGGTGACGGAAAATAAATCAAAAACGGCTCAAATTTGGCAAAATGTGTCTTAATCTGAGCACATTTTGACTGAGCCTTAGATTAGATTAGATTCTCCAATGGGACAACGCAAAATGATCTCGTCAAATCAGACTAAATGGCTTTATTCCATTGGAGAATCTGGTTTTAACACAAAGAAAAGTCTGGAAATAAGAAAAAAAATACTTAAACAAGCTTAAAAACTCAAACTTTTTTCTCTAGTAAGATTATGAAGTATTATTATCTTAAAACTAGTAAAATAATCTTAGACAAAAACTATGCAACCAGTGAGGCCCCAGTATACACAGGTCTATATAATGCTCTGTGTTATTTATGATTTTACTTTTTTCAGTTTGTACCTCATGTATTTTAATTTTTGGCAGTGTGATTGCCGCGTGTTGATAATCTGTTGATAATCTCTGTTTTCCGTCATCGTTAACTCTCGGTGACTTGTTTCGCAGGAGTCAGAAGAGATCAGGTCCAACGAGCTGGATGCAAAACTGAAGGAGACCAAAGGAGAGCTGGAGAAACACAAGCAAGAGCAGACGGATCAGATAGAGGTGACCACCGCCATCTTTAAGACGTTTTTATTCATTTAAAGCAGAAATATGTAAGATTTTAAAAGACGGAAAATTGCAATGCTGAAGCTAAGAGTTGTTTAACTGGGTTTTTTACTTTTTGGAAGGAGTTTAGAGAGTCCGAGTTTCTGAGATGAGGGGAGAGAGCTCCAGAGAGTGGGAGCAGAGATGGCCATGGTTTTTTTATTTTATATTTTTGACCCAGTAAAAGTTTATATTATTTAGAGGCTGGAAAAGTTATTTAGAAATTCAAATATCTCTGAAATACTGTTATCAGTTAAAGAAGTATTGGAAAAGAGCAGTTTATTATTATGACAGATTAGGGCCCTTTAATGATGACAAATGAGGGCCCTTTAATTATGACAGATTAGGGCCCTTTAATAATGACAGATTAGGGCCCTTTAATAATTACAGATTAGGGCCCTTTAATGATGACAGATTAGGGCCCTTTAATGATTACAGATTAGGGCCCTTTAATGATGACAGATTAGGTCCTTTAATGATGACAGATGAGGGCCCTTTAATGATGACAGGCTAGGGCCCTTTAATGATGACAGGTTAGGGCCCTTTAATAATGACAGATTAGGGCCCTTTAATAATTACAGATTAGGGCCCTTTAATGATGACAGATTAGGGCCCTTTAATGATTACAGATTAGGGCCCTTTAATGATGACAGATTAGGTCCTTTAATGATGACAGATGAGGGCCCTTTAATGATGACAGGTTAGGGCCCTTTAATGATGACAGGTTAGGGCCCTTTAATGATGACAGATTAGGGCCCATTAATGATGACAGATTAGGGCCCTTTAATAATTACAGATGAGGGCCCTTTAAGCAGCCTATTTCAGAACAGGTACTCCCACAGTGCCAGCCATTTATGATGATTTTTACTGATTTTTCAAGACCCACAGAATATTGTGTACTATGACTATCTGAAATCCGACACCAGATTCTAAAAGAATGGACTGTCTACTTTCCTCAGCCAAAAAAAAATTTTTTGTATAGCTTTTTTCGTTCCCCTGTAATCCTCCGTTGAGTAGAGGGAAGTTTTACTGAAATCACCAGAAATCACCAGAAAGTTGAGAAAAAAGAGGCACAACATGTGCACCTACATGTTTTCAAACCATTCAGAGAGAAATGCTGCCACCTGCTGGCTCGATAAAATATGGTCTCAAGTCATCCCCATACATATTAGATACAATAGACATCTGGGAACGTGAAAATAGCAAAAAATGGCACACGACGTTACTATTTGCTTTGACGTATTTGTGCGTCAATGGGACACAATAGGGCACTGTCCGGTTTCCGAAATGTGCTAAAAATAGCTCAGATGACTGCGCATGCGCGCATGTTTCGGACAAACATTGTGTACGACGCGTTGAGTTCTACTGTGTTCTCCACATACGCGTGTGTATTTACTTGGGCTAAATCATTAAATCATGGTGACAACAAAACACTGCAGTTATGGTGCTTGTCGGAGCGATTTCAGATATTCTGAAAAGGACTATCAAAGTAACATTCAACCCGTTCGTTAAACCACAACATCGGACCAGATCAGGACCAGACCAGGACCAGATCAGACCAGGACAAGTGCAAGAGGTGGGTGCTTGTGGTCGGCAGAATTTCTCTCATGAAAAGGTTAAAAAGGACACATGTTTTTTCAAAACACTTCGCTGGACCAACTGTGGAGCCTCCAGATCCAGTCCTAGCTACGTTTAGCTGGGACTGGATCTGGACCGCTGTATCTGGTCCGTCTGAGCTCTTCTGAATGTAGTTAGCACAAACTCTCTCTTTACACCATTTACCCCCATCAATCCATATTAGTATTGTTTGTCCTAATCCAGAAAGTATACAATTCTCACACCTGAAGAAAGATGAGAGGGATTTTTTTCAACTTTGTGACTATCGGAAAATAAGTTCAGACGAAGCGCGTCGGGGTCCGCTTATTATACGGATTTGTACCAACTCAACACGCAAAATAAACGTCATTCACTATTAATGCCGAAAGGTTTATTTAATGAGTGCAAAGAAAATAGTTCCCAAAGGTTTTCCCGTGGCAGGCGAATAACAGTGAGGATAGTTAACCTACTTTAAAAAAGCGATCGCTTTAGTTGCATTAAAAAAGTATTTTTGTCATGAAAACCTGAACAGATAATTCTGAAAACCTCCGTGCACTTGTGTTATGAATGTATGTATAATGTATTCTCCCATTAATATTTAAATGTGTCGATTGATGGTCATTTGCGTTTACTGAGTGTGGCTAGCTCCGATAGTTTCTCTCTCAGAGACAGTAGTGGCGTAACCCGTTGTGACCCCATGGATCTGTTATAATATCAGCTGACTGTAGCTAACTAATGATCAAACTAATTACAAAGTGGATAGTGCAAAAAAAAAAAAACTTGATAAATGGAAGTTAATCACAGCAAAACAAACAAAGAAGGCGCTAGCATTGCAATTTAAATGACTAGATAATGTTAGCATAATCCTTACCATTATCTTTTTATCAACTCAAACTTTCTACTGGAAGACCACGACATTCAAGCCAACGTTATAATTGGTCTACACTATGATCCCTGATGGTTTGATGGTGGAATTTTGCCCCTGGTATTTCATTTTCGTCTAAAGTGACAAGTGGTATTTGATTCATTTCGGCAGTGTTTGTCCGAAACATGTGGGCGGGAGTTGACAGGCGGCGGGGGCGTGTCTTAGTGACGTCATTCAGATAGTTCGCTATGAGTTAATGATCCTACGTACTGGCCCTTTAATGCTTTAACACTAATGCTTCTGCAGGTTCATAGAGTAAAAGCTAAAGAATTGGACGATCTGAAGAAATGCTACAAAGAATCCATGGATGAACTGGAGACGCTGCGCACAAAGGTGAACTTCAAAACTCGACTTGAAACAGATTTTCTTTTGAGAACAAACTTTACACATGTTTATTCTGCAGCTGAAATGTTTGGAGGACGAGAGGCCGCGCTGGGAAGACGAGCTCAGCAAGTACCGAGAGATCATCAACAGACAGAAGCTCGAGATCGGAAAACAGAGAGAGAGGCTGGAGGAGGCAACACAACTGGAGCGGCAGCAGCTACGGTACACACAACACTCTGAACACACAACACTCTGTAAGAAACGGTACACACAATACTCTGAACACACAACACTCTGTAAGAAAGGGAACATACAATACTCTGAACACACAACACTCTGTAAGAAACGGAACATACAATACTCTGAACTAGGGGTGTGACGATATATCGATTTTTTGCGATACTTTCTCCCGCGATTCGATTATCGATATGCATTTGCCAAGTATCGAAATCAATTTTGAAAAAAAAAAGGCTTTTTTTTTTACAATTTTCTTTTTTTTAAAATTGGTATCAATACTTAATATATTGCTACATTATGCATCTCCATTCCATTTATCATGAAATAAAGTGTTGTTTTTTTCTTTTATTTATGCCATAAATTGGCATATTGTATATTTCTGACCAATATATCAATAATCGTCATATCGTGAAAAAATCGTTATCGTGATATTATCGTGAGTTTTGTATCGTGTATCGTATCGTGAGGTACCCTTAGGTTCCCACTAGGGCTGGGACAACGCGTCAACGTAATCGGTGACGTCGACGCAAAAAATACACCGACGTATAATATGCGCGTCGGTGCGTCACACACAAAACAAAGATGGCGGCGAGCGGTAGCAATTAGGGATGTAAAAAACTATGAATTTTCATGACCGACCACCGAGCCTCATTAACCGGTTGAAACCGGTTAACCGCGTAGTTTAAAATAGTCCACGTTCTTTGAAATAACAGCCATTTCGAGCCGCGTACTTTTCATAAGTGCAGCTCTGAGTTCTACTGGATCAGAGCCGAGACAGCGGCACCAAAACCCGCAACAGCCCCGGCACCTTTGCGCACAGAGAACTGCTTTTTTAATCTTCCCATTCTGCTATGCTGCGGGTTAATACCAAAACTTTCTAGCAGCAAACGACGGCTCGTTCACATGGTCAGAGCAGCGAGTGACGAGCCGCGTCTCACAGGTCTTCACAAAAGTTTAAATACAAGTGATGTGTGTGGGGCTGATCCCGAGGACCATAAACACAAACATGTTCCATGTGGTTTGACTGGAGCCGCGTATTTGCGCGAATCCTTTGGGCTCCGTGACATAGAGGAGCGCGACAGACCGGTATGTGTGTGTGTATGTATGTGTGTGTATATATATGTATATGTGTGTGTATGTGTGTGTGTGTAAATGTAAGCTCCAATGTAGTTCTGACCCGCGCCACTGTGCAACTTTGACGGTAACAGAGGGGAGAGATGATGCGTGTGGATGTTACGTATGGAGAGGGGGAAAGTGTGTGTGTGTGTGTGTGTGTGTGTGTGTGTGTGTGTGTGTGTGTGTGTGTGTGTGTGTGTGTGTGTGTGTGTGTGTGTGTGTGTGTGTGTGTGTGTGTGTGTGTGTGTGTGTGTGTGTGTGTGTGTGTGTGTGTGTGTGTGTGTGTGTGTGTGTGTGTGTGCATGCATATGTGGCTCGTGCGGCGTGAGAGTCGTCCCGGAGTTTATAATACATAGGCGCATACAGCTAGAGACAGACCCGCTCGTCACATCGTGCAAATAGGGCTTAAAATAGCGTTATTAAGAGACCTCCCCTCTCCCCTTTTTCTCTTTTTTTAAACGACAGCTTTGACCGGTTAACGCTGTGATGGTCAACCACCGGTTAAACGGTCGCCGATTTACATCCCTAGTAGCAATGCGAGTGCCGTGTTAGAGAAGTGCAAGCCGGTGTAACGCTGAGATACACTGCCTTGAAGAGATGCACTGCCTCAGCTGTTTATGATGTAATGCAAACCTGCGCGTCTCACGGCAGCCGAAGCAAACCAAGATGGCGGACCGTGAATTTCTTTAAAAGTTAAAATACGAACGAATTCAGACACGAATGTCACTTTTAATGCAATTTGAGGCGAGATGTTGATGGTTCCGTTTTGTCACATGTGGGTTTTAAGAGTCAAAGTTTCGTGCTAAGTTTAGTTTAAGCAGTCAACTGCGCCTGTGAAACCACAAAGCTAATGTTTTCATAGCAGTCCGCGGCTGCTGACGTAGGCTGATGACGTAGGCTGATGACGTAGGCTGCTGACGTAGGCTGCTGACGTAGGCTGATGACGTAGGCTGATGACGTAGGCTGCTGACGTAGGCTGATGACGTAGGCTGATGACGTAGGCTGCTGACTCGTCCTGTGGCAACTCTACAGCTTACAACTAGTCTGTCTTTCTTTGTATCAAACGGAATATTGGCGCCCGTAATAGCCCCTACATGTATTATTCACTGTCATGCCCGCCGTGTATGGACATTTTTCAACATGTGTTCAATATCCTTAATGTGTTTAACTGTTGATTGATTCTCTGATCTGTGTTGGTGACTTCAATGTTGTTTTAAGTCCTCTGAGATGACTTCTACTGTATTCTTTCAGTAACTCTAAAAGAAAGGATGACTGGTTGACCTTTTTATTTGCTACACAATGCATTGTTTTTCTCTTGTACACTCTTACTTGAATTTTATTTTTGAATTTTGAGTTTAAGAAAAAGGTGAGTGGCAGAGTTTTGACTGTTATTTTTATATGAATGAAGAATTTAAGAGATGCACTTTAATTAATGGACTTCAGTAATATAGGCCTATGTGTCTTCAACTTAAATGTTAAACTCTGTTGGTTCAGGAAGGACGCCATGACAGGCTGATGGCTCCCACTGTTTTTGCTAGAAAAGCACTCTTTGTTTAGCTTAAAGCAGTGTTTTTCAACCTTTTTTGAGCCAAGGCACACTTTTTTCACTGAAAAAATCTTGCGGCACACCTCCAGGAGAAAACGTAAAAATGTATACAGTACTAATGTAAAAATATATACTGTACATACTCTGTGTGATATATAAAGTATATCTTATCTTATCTTATAATGTATACAGTATACTCTGTAGCCTATATTCACAATATACAGTTATTCTCATCAAAATTCTTAAGTCCAGGCCTTGAAATTAAGCTTTATTTAATATTTCTCGATACAATTAACAAGAGTTTGGGAATAAAGTGGCACTAACTGTGTGGAAAAAAACTAAGAAAATCCACTCTCTGCCCAAATAGTCAAATAATAACTCACACAAAGAACATGCATTGTTAGTGCATGGGAAAAATTTAGGTATCCGAGCTTTAAATTCAGGAGTTTTGGATGAGGGACACGGGAGGTCCTGAACGCGAGTCCATGGTTCTGTCCGGTCCGCATGTCTGTGGTTCTGTCCACTCGACTATGGTCTGCGCTCGGTACCCAGTTCAGAAGTGCGTTCGCGAGAGCTGTTGTACAAAAATTGTACATTTCATAGTTAAACCACTACAACGCGGCCACAGCTGCCCCGGGGCAGAGCGGAGGATGTTAATCCTGTTCAGAAACGGCATAATTCATTTTCAAAAACGTCTCTATCACTTTCACTTCTCACTCGCCACAAAGCTCTTGTCTCGCTCCTCCCACATTTGTTGGTCGCATCCAATTTTACCTTTCTCGCCACAATGCTGACCTGTTACAGCCAGTGGTCGCATCCAATTTTTCAGTTTCAAAGTACTTAGCTATCTGCTGCCATCTACTGATTTGAAAAAGTATTACATGGTTACTCCACAGTTCAAAACAAGTCACCGCTCGTCAACAGCGAATGCAGCTATTTTTAGACAAAGTAGACGAATTTCTCACGGCACACCAGACAATATCATACGGCACACTAGTGTGCCGCGGCACAGTGGTTGAAAAACACTGGCTTAAAGCCTTCAAGTTTACATTGGTTACTGTTTTCTTTTAGTTGCTCTACACAAGTATTTGGCTGAACTTTTTCATATTTTTATTGAATGCTAAGCATCAAATGTTTGTTTCAAGAATGATAAGATGCACTTTTTTCAGTAAGCTGTGTTTTCAAGGCTTTAAGGTTTTATGCTACCTCTAAGAATGTCTTATTTTTGAATTTTAAGAGCAAGCAATATTTTTTGTGAAGGAATTCATGTTTTTTTCATTAAAATATTTAAATCAACATGTATACATCAATATTAGTCATACATACACACATACACACATACACACACATACACACACACACACACACACACACATACACACACATACACACATACACACACATACACACATACACACATACACACATGTAACCCAGTGAACAGAAATAGGCATAAAGAGCCAATACAACTAAAGTGTCGCTCCCTGCAGAGGTAACGCAGTCTACCGCATAGTTCGGGTTGAGTGAAAAGGTGAATTTAGCAGATGTCAAATAAATAAATGCTCCGTTAGCATTAAGTTAGCGGCGGCGCTACATGAATACACACGCACCATAGCTGCGTGAAGTGCCTAAAATAACAGTGTGGCTCAACTCACCGGTGAGTAGAGCAAGAAGGAGGGGAGGTATATATTAATCGGTCCCCAACAGTTTGCGTGTGGATCTGGGATGTGATGATGGGAGTATGGATTAGTAAACAGTACGAGTGTGTATTGATATAAACATGCTCTTAAAGACAGCGCAGATTGACTCACCCGATGAATGACACGAGAGACGCGCTCCAGTACGGGAATGCGGTTTGCAACTGCGGGTAGTCGTTTGCAACTTTCAAATGACTGTTTTAGGCACAAATAGACCTGTCCACGCCACAGCAAGAGCAGCGTGATGGCATGAGTGGGACTGGAGAGGGGGGAGTGACAGGTGGGGCAGGGATCTTAAAGGAAAGCGGCCCGCCACAATAAAAGCCTAGGGACAGTGAGCCGCTATTTCATGTGGGTTACACACACACATACACACATACACACATACACACATACACACACACACATACACACATACACACATACACACATACACACACACACACACACACACACACATACACACACATACACACACACACATATACACACACACACATACACACACACACTGTGCAGTATACAGCAGTCATCAGTGGGAGTCATGAAGAACCTATACATATTCTGTGCCTTGTGGTAGAATCCTCTCAGTCACATCAGGGCTGAGAGAGGAAAGGACGGTCCTCTGTTTTGGTCCCAAATGTTGAAATCTAAAGATGTGAAACATGCATTTACCAAACTGTACAGAGAAAAGAATGGATTTGTATCATCATTTACTTTGTCTTTAAGATACATCAGACACAATTGCTTAAAATGACAATACCCTTTAAATCTAGAGTGTGGTCTTAGTTTTCATCAGACAGGACTCGATGCTGTCCTTTATCTTGAGCCACAGACTCAAAGAGGCCAGTGACAGATATAGCACAGGGGCAGCGGGGGAGAGGAGTCCCTTTGTGAGTCCGGGCCGGTCCTTTGCAGACTCCAGACCGAGACTGAAGCCTGATTTCCGAGCCCTATTTCTCATTTCACCAGTCAGAAGATGCTGGTGTTGACCTAAATTAATATATGCAGGAGATCTTTGTTCGACAACTTGGAGAGCGCAGTCTGTCGTTGATCATTACCATGTTTGGAGCTCGCCTTTTCAAAGATTTTTACACATTCCTGGGAAATAGTCACGTAATGTTAATGCTCCCTGCGATCACTGCAAGGAGAGCATGATTTATGGGAAGCAAAAACCTCATTAATGTAATACAAATGTAAATATTTCTATCCAGTTCTTGCATCTTTTATTAAATTCTGGAGAGCTACCTTTACAGGATAGAATTAAAGAAGGTTTTTTTACACATAATTTATATAATAATAATAATGCATTGGTTTTATACAGCGCTTTACATGTTATTATTCTTTCACTCCAAACACGGTGGTGATAAACTACTGTAGCCACAGCTGCCCTGGGGCACACTGACAGAAGCGAGGCAACCAATGTGCCATCGGCCCCTCCCACCACCACCAACCATTCACACACACACCAGACTCATTCTAGGCAATGGGGGTAAAGTGTCTTGCCTAAGGACACAACGACAGCAGACAGACGGGGTGGTGAAGGTCAGGCTCAAACCCATGACCCTCTGGCTCAAAGGCCAATGCTCTACCAACTGAGCTACTGTCGCCTGTATCTACTGTATCATTTTTACAGTAGATTTACTAATTTTGGCGAGCAGCTTTAGTTTTAAGTACATATCTCATCGGCATCAACATTCTCTAAAGTTTAAATACATTTAATGAAATGTGGGAACTTTAGCTTGATTTGGACCTTTTTTGGAGTCCAGACTTAAATATAGTAAAGTCTATTAAATCTATTAAATGATGTTATACAATAGTTTACAAATAAATCATAACATTTTAGTATTGAGCACATTCTGTAGAGTCTAAATCCTTTGGGGAGCAATGGGGTGCTCCTGACCTGTAAGAATGGAGACCCCAGATTTTTTTAATTACGAGTCCATCATAAAGTAATGGAATAAGTTTGAGGTGCTTGTTATATATACACAGTTGTTTTCCTGATGCACATATAAACGACTAACGAAATGGTGAATTCACAGGATTGATGTCTATAGACAAAATAAGGTCTTTAACACGTTTCTCACTTTCAAAGTTTGAGATATTGGAGAGAATGAAACGATATCTGAACTCTGAACCTTGACTCTGAGGTCTGTACAAATGTGTTATATAAATAAAGATGACTTATTACTGATGCAAACTACAAGGATGTTTACGCACAAACTAGGACATAAGAGAAGGTGGATGAAGCGGCGACATGTGGGTAGTTTCAGTCATTCCTGCGTTCGAAAGACGACAAAAACTTCAAACCTGTGTAGCGCTTTTTTGGACACGCAATACAGGACGCAATACATCACTTTAGCAAAACTATGGAAAGGCTGAAGCGGGTGAAACTTCTGGAGTGAGTTTTTCCCTACATTTCTCTTTTACATTTTTATTTCCTCGTCAGCAGCTGCACATGTAATAACGCCCTTTTGTTGTAAATGTCAGCAAAATAAGATCTGTCTTCTTTAACTCGTTGCTGTCTTCCTCTCACTTCCTCTCACTTCCTCCAACTTCCTCTCACTTCCTCTCACTTCCTCCAACTTCCTCTCACTTCCTCCAACTTCTTCTCACTTCCTCTCACTTCCTCCAACTTCCTCTCACTTCCTCTCACTTGCCCTGACTTCCTCTCACTTCCTCTCACTTCCTCCCACTTCCTCTCACTTCCCCTGACTTCCTCTGTCTTGGTGCAGGGACCAGCAGGAGATCTCTGCTCTGCGTGAGGAGGTGGACAGCCTGACCAACCAGCTGTCTGACCTGCAGCAGGACGTCCAGGGCAGCAGAGAGCGAGAGGCCGAGCTCCTGGTCTTCACCGAGAAACTGAGCAGTAAGAACGCCCAGCTCCAGTCCGAGAGCAACACGCTACAGGCCCAACTGGACACGCTCTCCGGGGACCACGCCCAGCTCCAGTGTCTGCAGGACCAGACCAGCCGCCAGCTGGAGGAGAAGGTCAGGAATCACCACGAATGGATCAATAACATCAGGACCACTGCGCTAGAGGCTGCTTCTGTATTTACATCTGTATTTACATCTGTATTTACATCTGTATTTACATCTGTATTTACAGGGACAAACAAGACAAGTATTTCTGTCTCAAATGCATCTCAAACCACTTTTAAAGAGTTTAGCTGCTTTAATCTGAAAGTCCTGACTCTGGGACCAGCAGGAGGCCAGTCCCTGTGCTCCTCAGAGTCCCAGCAGGAGGCCAGTCCCTGTGCTCCTCAGAGTCCCAGCAGGAGGCCAGTCCCTGTGCTCCTCAGAGTCCCAGCAGGAGGCCAGTCCCTGTGCTCCTCAGAGTCCCAGCAGGAGGCCAGTCCCTGTGCTCCTCAGAGTCCCAGCAGGAGGCCAGTCCCTGTGCTCCTCAGAGTCCCAGCAGGAGGCCAGTCCCTGTGCTCCTCAGAGTCCCAGCAGGAGGCCAGTCCCTGTGCTCCTCAGAGTCCCAGCAGGAGGCCAGTCCCTGTGCTCCTCAGAGTCCCAGCAGGAGGCCAGTCCCTGTGCTCCTCAGAGTCCCAGCAGGAGGCCAGTCCCTGTGCTCCTCAGAGTCCCAGCAGGAGGCCAGTCCCTGTGCTCCTCAGAGTCCCAGCAGGAGTCCAGTCCCTGTGCTCCTCAGAGTCCCAGCAGGAGTCCAGTCCCTGTGCTCCTCAGAGTCCCAGCAGGAGTCCAGTCCCTGTGCTCCTCAGAGTCCCAGCAGGAGGCCAGTCCCTGTGCTCCTCAGAGTCCCAGCAGGAGGCCAGTCCCTGTGCTCCTCAGAGTTTGAGTTGGTTCATATGGCACTAATTTGTATCAAGCTGAAGTAAATTCGACCACATTTTGATAATAACTGATAAAATATTATCTGCACTATTTCATCACAGACAGAATGAAAGTCTTTAACACAACTTAGACCACGCCCCCAACACAAGACTGTTGACTTCTTGTTTAAGTACAAACTACGACACAAGAGAAAGTGGATGAAGCGTAGTTTCAGTAACTCCTGTGTTCAAAAGACGACAGAAAACAAGCTCTACACGTTTTTTTCATAATAATATTAATACATCAACCTCGTATAGCACTTTCATGGACACTCAAAGACGCTTTACAGAACATATAATAAACATAGAAGAGCAAAACTAAGGAAAGGCTGAAACGGGTGGGTTTGAGAATGATTTAAAGTTCTGTAGTGAGTCTTCCATCATTTCCTCGTCAGCAGCTGCACACGCGTGACGCCCTTTCGTTGTAAATGTTAACGTGACACCTCCATCTGATAACTACAGACCGGGCTGTCAGCTCCAACCACGTATTTACACTGCGACCATGCTGTTTGGTCCCGACACAGATTTGTTTATCGATAACTTGGCAACAAGGCTTTGTGACATTAGCTTGGTCTTACCCTACCATGGTATTTATTTTATTTCGTAATTCGTACTAAGGTCTGGATTTGCTCTATTGACTCCGTGAACAGGTGGGAGGGGCTAACTCCTTTTGCAGATTGAAACAATTGGATCTGAGTTTATTGTGACGTATGTAATAAGCCTGAGTGAGTGAGGCATTTAGCATTTAGCCTAGCTTTAGCATTTAGCCTAGCTTTAAGCAAGGCAAGGCAGGGGGGATTCAACCGAGGAATATAATAATAATGCATCGGTTTTATATAGCGCTTTTTTGGACACTCAAAGACGCTTCACATGTGTCATTATTCATTCACTCCATACACGGTGGTGATAAACTACTACTGTAGCCACAGCTGCCCTGGGGCACACTGACAGAAGCGAGGCAACCAGTATGCGCCATCGGCCCCTCCGACCACCACCAACCATTCATACACACACCAGACTCATTCTAGGCAATGGGGGTGAAGTGTCTTGCCTAAGGACACAACGGCAGTTTGGCACTTTACAGCCGCAGCCGCCCCACTGTGGCTGGTGTTCCCAGAGGTTAAGTGTCTTGCCAAGGACACAACGACAGTAGTCAGTGGGAGTCGATGATGAAAGTCTTGAGCGGGGCTTGAACCCACGACCTTCTGGCTCAAAGGCCAACGCTCTACCTACTGAGCTACTGCCGCCCGAGGAAACTGCAGCCACTAGGATCAGACCCAGACGTACATGTAGGAAATGACCATGGACCAGAGTTTACACATGGTACGACCAGACTTTGTTACAGGTTTTCTTCTATATTTGACCTAGTTTATTGTAACGCTAGCTAGTGGCTACGCAAGATCTGACTTTGGCTATTAACGGAATAGCAGTGTAGTGAGCAGAAGAGGGTGGATCGGCAAGGAGCCTGAGGTGCACATAAAGACAACTGATATCTACGTGATAAAGAATTGTATTATAATAGTCCAACAGATGAAATATTATTGCACACAAAAAAAACCCATACACCAGATTGCAGGTGTATGGAAAAAAACAGGTTCCACCACAAAGTCTTTAGGTAAAAGTCCAACAAAAAAATGCTTGCTACTTGCAAGGCTATTTAAGTTCCGCTCGAGGAGGATGAAAAGAAAAGTAATCCACAAAAAGCGTGTAGGAAGCAATAGACAGTTTGTCCTACCGCGTCGTTGTCTAGCTCGCCATTTGTTGAGTCGTGGTGTAGAAAGGCTCAGTTCATTGGGTTAGTCCATCCCATTACAAAAACCTGACCTGAGGCCAAAAACATAAATAAGTAACATTGCATTAAGGGTATACAAGGAGAAGATTGGTATAACATTTTTTGTTATACAGGTTATTCTATTTGTAATACTAATACACATAGTATTAATAGTATAAATAATAATCATGATTTCTCAGAAAAATTAAATGTATGAACACTAGTTCATCAGATCTACCGAAAATAACTCATTAAACAAGGTTGTAGAAGTGCACTAAAATATCTTTCACTAATCATCAATAATTGACATTAAAAATATGAATGATCAGTAATCCTGGTTTACGTCATAATACTCAAGCAGAGTTGATAAATAAAAGTGTTGCGCAACAAACAATAACCACACAGACGCGTCTCATTGGAGCGCACAGTAACTCCATTAATAATATGCTGACTGCCTTTAAGAGCCTGCAAAAGTAAGACAGCATATTGGGAACACAGATCCAGTTAAACATGTCCTAAACTAAAGAGTTGCCTAACAATACGGCTTATTGATAAAAAGGAAAAGAGCGGGTTTACCTGAGTAACTTGGGGCAAACACGACACACCATGCATGGCCCGCTACTTAAAAGAACATGGCGGCTCTATGGGAGAATGGCATCACATTAGCGACTATGCTAAAACGTTTCAAAAACAGTACTTAGCGATCTCTTATAAACAAATGCATTTAGGATTAGGCTTCTTCGGCCATGGCAAAAGACTCACCTAATTATGAAGTGTCAATAATGCGCGATTGGAGAGTTTCAGCAAGTCTACTCTCACATGCCGTCTGTCAATGCTGCAGCCACAACGGAGACGGGAGGGGGGAGGAGATGCGCGCAGCTGATAGTTAAAGAGACGGGCGCTTTTGGGGGAAGTTGGCTTACAAAATAAAAGTCTTTAAGACACTAAAGCCGTTTCAGTTAAGCATGTTAATCATGGTAATGAAATGCGGGTCACATTATGTTTATGACATTCAGATCTCCCACTCCTCTCCCCGCAGCCATCGTGTGTTAAATCTGAAAATGCTTTGTTGCTAGTTTTACATAAATATCGTATTCTGATCAACTCTAATAAAAAGCCACTTCTTACAGTCGGCCCAATTATTCTTATTTTTTCTCCCGAACCTTTTCCTCTCTGACTGAAGTGCACATTAATAAACATGAGCCACATGCAGTTGCCACGAGAGCATCAATTAACTGATAAATGTGTTATAATTGGTAACATGGCAACCTGGGAAATGATTATGATAATTTTTTCAGGTCAAGTCTCTTTAATTTCTTCATTATCCCCAAAGAGCTTCAGATTACAGCTTGTTTTAAAGGAGCAGTGTGTAAACATGTGGCCAAAAGTGGTACTGCAGCCTCTCCCACTCTCCCTGACTCAGGTTGCCAGATATGCAGACGAATCCAGCTGGGACCATAACAGCTGAATAGACAAGAGTTTTGTCAACAACAAATCTATAACCAACACCTTTTTCACAAAGATAGAAATCCTGGTTTTATTCCTTGTTTTGTCGTTAATGATGTGAGAATCATAACGAGACCTTTTTTACGCCACATGGTACTTTACCAGTGAGATTAGCTCCACGCGGTGAGTTCTGGCGCCCGGATCACAGACTTTCTGATTGGTGAAACGGTGGAGGGCGGGACATCGAAATGAAAACAATAACAAGATTTAGGGGCTGGAAAAGTTATTTAGAAATTCAAATATCTCTGAACTACTGTTATCAGTTAAAGAAGGATTGGAAAAGAGCAGATTATTATTATGACAGATTAGGGCCCTTTAATGATGACAGATTAGGGCCCTTTAATAATGACAGATTAGTTCCCTTTAATGATGACAGATTAGTTCCCTTTAATGATGACAGATTAGGGCCCTTTAATAATGACAGATTAGTTCCCTTTAATGATGACAGATTAGTTCCCTTTAATGATGACAGATTAGGGCCCTTTAATGATGACAGATTAGTTCCCTTTAATGATGACAGATTAGGGCCCTTTAATAATGACAGATTAAGGTCCTTTAATGATGACAGATTAGGGCCCTTTAATGATGACAGATTAGGGCCCTTTAATAATGACAGATTAGGGCCCTTTAATGATGACAGATTAGGGCCCTTTAATAATGACAGATTAGGGCCCTTTAATGATGACAGATTAGGGCCCTTTAATAATGACAGATTAGGGCCCTTTAATAATGACTGATTAGGGCCCTTTAATAATGACAGATTAGGCCCTTTAATAATAACAGATTAGGGCCCTTTAATGATGACAGATTAGGGCCCTTTAATGATGACAGATTAGGGCCCTTTAATGATGACAGATTAGGGCCCTTTAATAATGACAGATTAGGGCCCTTTAAAGGGCCCATATGACGGTTTTTGACTTTTCTCTGCTTTAAACATGATTACAGCTATTTGGCCTCATACAGAAGCCCACAGTAGTTTATTCATTGATTCTGGCGGGTGAGGGCGGGGGGGAGGCGGGTGAGGGCGGGGGGAGGCGGGTGAGGGCGGGGGGGGAGGCGGGTGAGGGCGGGGGGGGGGCGGGTGAGGGCGGGGGGAGGCGGGTGAGGGCGGGGGGAGGCGGGTGAGGGCGGGGGGGAGGCGGGTGAGGGCGGGGGGAGGCGGCTGAGGGCGGGGGGGAGGCGGCTGAGGGCGGGGGGGAGGCGGCTGAGGGCGGGGGGGAGGCGGGTGAGGGCGGGGGGAGGCGGGTGAGGGCGGGGGGGAGGCGGGTGAGGGCGGGGGGGAGGCGGGTGAGGGCGGGGGGAGGCGGGTGAGGGCGGCTGAGGGCGGGGGGGAGGCGGGTGAGGGCGGGGGGAGGCGGCTGAGGGCGGGGGGAGGCGGGTGAGGGCGGGGGGGAGGCGGGGGGAGGGGGGGGGGAGGCGGGTGCGGGCGGGGGGAGGCGGGTGCGGGCGGGGGGAGGCGGCTGAGGGCGGGGGGAGGCGGGTGAGGGCGGGGGGGAGGCGGGTGAGGGCGGGGGGAGGCGGGTGAGGGCGGGGGGAGGCGGGTGAGGGCGGGGGGGAGGCGGGTGAGGGGGGGGGGGGGAGGCGGGGGGAGGGCGGGGGGAGGCGGGTGAGGGCGGGGGGGAGGCGGCTGAGGGCGGGTGAGGGCGGCTGAGGGCAGGGGGAGGCGGGTGAGGGCGGGGGGAGGCGGGTGAGGGCGGGGGGAGGCGGGCTCACAGGCAGAGGAGCAGACTCTGGATCAGCTCGTTTGAGTCGAGGTGACGTCACCTCTATACAAGAGATGGCTCTAATCTCACAAGCTTTGATTGTTGTGTGGTGTATCATACACATTAATATCACACATGTGTATAGGATTGAGTGTGAAACATGAAGAAAAGCGTGATATAGGACCTTTAATAATGACAGATTAGGGCCCTTTAATAATGACAGATTAGGGCCCTTTAATAATGACAGATTAGGGCCCTTTAATAATGACAGATTAGGACCCTTTAATGATGACAGATTAGGGCCCTTTAATGATGACATACGGTTTTCTCTCTGTGTTTCAGTCTCGGCATCTGAAGCAGGAGGAGGCTTTGAGGAACCAGGAAGTGCAGGGTCTGGAGCAGCAAAGGGTGGATCTGCTCCAGGAAGTGGCTCGGCTCCAGACCCGAGTAGACGAGCTCAGAGACGAACTCGTGACTCAGAAACGAAAGCAAGCGGCGAACATCAAGGACCTGACAAAACAGCTGACTCAGGGTGAGAAACTCTGTCCGGTCTCTTCAGCGTGATCTCAGTCTAAGTTTAAGACCGATCTACTCTTTGGGCTGGGATTCTGTGACGGAATGATATTTCAACAGTGTTATGTCCAAAAGGGGAAAATGTTATAGAAAAATGTGTCATGGGGCGACAGTAGCTCAGTTGGTAGAGCATTGGCCTTTGAGCCTGAAGGTCGTGGGTTCGAGCCCACCACATGACCTACTTTATGACTCCCACTGATGTCTGCTGTCGTTGTGTCCTTGGGCAAGACACTTAACCCCACTTTGCTTGAAGCCCCACTGAAAGATCAAGGCTATGCCAAAAAGCCCCCCCTCAACCCAGAAATGGATTAAGGGGAAGAAAATGGATGGTGTAATTATTCTCAAAGTACAGATGTTATTTGTTCAGTCACTGTTTAGCTTTAGCTGCAAAGTTCCTTCCTTCCTCTTCCCACAAACACCTCCCTGCTGTTTTCTTTGTGCAGCGTCGGGATTGGCTGCAGTTTGAGTGCAGTATTGTAATAAGTATTTTTGTAAATGGGTGATTTGATGTACATTGAACTCAAAGTAAATGAACACTCAACAAGTCTTCTAGTAATGGAGGAGTTTGACAATGAGAGAGAATAAGAACAACTAAAATGTCTCGTTGTCATTACTAGTGATTTATGACAAAACGTTGCAATTTTAGCATCCAGAAATATAATAAGATTGATAAGATAAGATAGTGTTTATTGATCTCTGATGGAGAAATGTACTTGTCACATCTGGATATATTATATTATGTACAATAAAAAGTGACACTCAGAAACAGTGTCAGTATTAGTGCAGCTTTTTCAGTCCTAGTGCAAGTGACTTATTGTACAGTCTGACAGCGGTGGGGATAAAGGCCCTGCGGTAGAGTATTCCTTGTAAGCAAAGTGGGGTTAAGTGTCTTGCCCAAGGACACAACAACAGCAGACATCAGAGGGAGTTGTGGTGGGCCTAATGCTCTACACACTGAGCCACTGTCGCTCCAAATATAAAACAGAATTCACTTTCTTTGCACTGTTCACACTCTGCTCTGGCTGCACACGACATGTTGAAGTGACTGGACCATTTTCTCTGCGTCCGGTCATTTCTCAGGCAGGTGTCGTTGATAATGTGTTGAGCAAATATGAATTCCGCAGCTTTTTGCTCATGCGGCGCAGGTTTGCTGAGGCCGCCCGGGAACAGACGTCTCTTATTCAAACCGACGTCGCCGTGAGTTCAGGCCAATCATCATTTATGCAAAACTCCGTCTTCTTTGTGGACTCGTTAATCACTGCAGCGATTCCCTTTACATTTCCCCTTTGTTTGTTTTTACGAATCAGCTTTTTACTCCCACATATCAGTCATCACAGCGGTTTCACATTTTGGAAAGTGGTGATATTTATACTAATGTTTTGTCTCTTTGTGTTTCAGCTCGGAAAAGATTGGAGCAAGTGGAGAACGGAGGCTGCGATCGCGACGCCGGCAGCATGGGCAGTCGGTCCAGCTCTTCAGGTATCAATCATCATCACGGTAACGTCATTTTTACATTTTTTTTCTCCTTTTCATTATGATTTTTAACATTGCTTTCTTTAAAGAGAGCTGCACAATATGGTAAAACAAATTCTGCGATAATATTGTCCAAAACTGCGATAACGATTTAGATAAATATAACAGAACTCAACCTCACTGGACCCAACTCCCTCCTCCCCTCGGCCCAGAACATCTGGTCACTTATCACTCCACCCAATGACAGAGCAGGACTTCCGGCAGCTCCCGTGTGATTGGTCAAAGTCAAAACAGATGTGAAAGAAACAGATTTTTCACGCTTTAACAACACAAAACCATAAAAATAAACCATTATAACTCTCTCAATACATTGTGCAGCTCTCTTTCTTTAAACCTTAAAAAATCATCTGGTTATAATGACTTCCTAAACTCTTTCCGGAAGGCTCTTTGAACGTTCGGCACGGCGGCGGCGGCGGCGGCGTGGACGAGCGGCCCGAGAGCCAGTCTGTCGTGGTCACGGACAGTTTCCCCGAAGTGGACAAGGCCGTTCTGGTCGAGCGCATCGTCCGGCTGCAAAAGGCTCTGGCCCGAAAACAGGAGAAGATTGAGTTCATGGAAGACCACATCAAGCAGCTGGTGGAGGAGATACGCAAGAAAACAAAGTGAGTGCGAGAAACCGATTCAAACACTAAAGGTTAAAGAATCAGAAAGCCCCGAGGAGATTAGAACGTCTGCAGCGGGGTTCAGGCTGCGGAGGAATTGGTTTTGTAAAACTGCTTTGACACATTTCACAGACTGTAATTGGGGTTAATTATAAAGAAATGGGCGGCTCGGTGGCTGAGTGGTTCTGAGTGGAGTTTGCATGTTCTCCCCGTGTATGCGTAGGTTTGCTCTGGGTGCTCTGGTTTCCCCTACCACTAAAAACATGTACTGGCCCCTCCCATCTCTGTAAACCGCTTTGACTCTGGTCTGAGAAAGGTGCGATATAAATACATATGACTTAAATCTGGTTTGAAAATGTGTCCGAAAGTTGTGATGCTCTTGTTACAGTCATCAACATGTTTTGTTATTGGTGGTGCGTTGGAAAAAGTGGTTCTGTACGGCACTAAATTATATCTGGATTAAAAGAAAATTAAAAAAACAACTCGACAAACGTAAAACTTTAAGGCTTTTGAATATTTTTCTAATGTCATTTTTCTGTTTTTGCAAATTAACTCTTCATATCTATATAACTCATTTCACCTATGAAGAGTTCTATCTATCTATATAACATCTACTTTTACTTAAACTTCACCATTTTGTTTCCAAATCATAACTTCCTTGTTTGACATCAGCAGCTGATAAAGTACTCGGCCATTTTAAGACTCTTTCCTGAATTGTCCCTTTTTAGTTCCGACTAGTCAAGCTGTTTACATTGCTCCTGTGTTTTGAGTGTATATCATATGTTTTAATGATTTTGATTTGAAGAAACAAAGAAATCTGAGGTGATCCTGTGTCTGTCTATAAACGACATAGTTTTAAATAATAATGAGGTATGAACACTTTTGGTTCATATTGTACAGTTTAGTGTAGCGTGAGCTGTGTATGTATAAATGGTGGGTAAATGGCCATGTTGAGGATTAAAAGATGCATATTGACTCTGACTCTTGTTTAGCCGCGCTGTCTTCGCTCTGGTCTCTGCCCGTCGTCTGCAGACTCCTAATAATGCAGTGATTTGTGACAAACTTCTGTCAGAGCTGTTTATAGTTGAGTGGACGGAGGGCACATGAGAATCCCTATAGATCGTTAACGACGTTTTATCAATTCCGAGCTGAAGGGACTGCATTAGCGTTAGCATAATCACACCTCACCTCCATGTGTGGTCTTGGCTCTGTGCAAGGAATACGTTTTCAGTGTATGGCTTCAGTGCTTTCACAAATACAGATTTCAGCCCTGGTGTGTACTCTGCCCGCTGAGTGGAAATGAGCAGAATAAATGACATTATCAAAGTCACAGGGAAAGTTCTCAATGAAAGGAGAATCAGAGTGAAAGCTTGGATGTCTCGCTCTACCACACATTAGTATTTCCAGTGTTGACTCTTATTAGCTTCAACCTACATTCAAGAGTTAAAATCCAGGACGAATCCCACGGTTGTGCAGCTAAATTTAGCCGTGTAAAAAATGTGAGCGTGGCAGGGGGTGTGGATGTGTATCGTGTCCTTTTTGCCTTTTTCTCTCGCTCCCTGCAGGACGCCGTGGTGAACGCCAGCAGGAAAACCGTGAGCCTCAAGGTGGTTGAAAGAGTCTGGGAAGGCCATGTTTAGAGACGGATCATACAAAGTCCAAAAGTTGTTCTTGATTTGGTGAAACAATCTCCTTCTGTGTCTGGATCTGTCTCTTTAATTACAGATTTTGGCAGATTTAAATTGAATAGATAATATACTGGTCGAAGAACTTTCCCAAACCTTTGCTAGTGCAGCGGATGGAACGATTCAGAAATCTCCCATGACTTACGACGCTTGTGCTGGAACTAAATGTGTTTATTGTCATTTTAGTTTCACATTTGCAGAGATGGCATCGATGGTGTTATTGAAATACGGGTCTTTATCGTTCAGTAATGTGTTCAAATCCTGATGCTCGGAGCCTAATGTCATCTACAGTAGTTTAGTGCCATGTTTAGTCAGGTCTGCTCTGACTCTGGGCCTCCTCTGTATGTGTGTGTGTGTGTGTGTGTGTCTGTGGAACTGCTCTGTATGTGTGTGTGTGTGTCTGTGGAACTGCTCTGTATGTGTGTGTGTGTGTCTGTGGAACTGCTCTGTATGTGTGTGTGTGTGTGTGTGGAACTGCTCTGTATGTGTGTGTGTGTGTCTGTGTGAACTGCTCTGTATGTGTGTGTGTGTGTCTGTGGAACTGCTCTGTATGTGTGTGTGTGTGTCTGTGGAACTGCTCTGTATGTGTGTGTGTGTGTCTGTGGAACTGCTCTGTATGTGTGTGTGTGTGTGTCTGTGGAACTGCTCTGTATGTGTGTGTGTGTGTGTCTGTGGAACTGCTCTGTATGTGTGTGTGTGTGTGTCTGTGGAACTGCTCTGTATGTGTGTGTGTGTGTCTGTGGAACTGCTCTGTATGTGTGTGTGTGTGTGTCTGTGGAACTGCTCTGTATGTGTGTGTGTGTGTGTCTGTGGAACTGCTCTGTATGTGTGTGTGTGTGTCTGTGGAACTGCTCTGTATGTGTGTGTGTGTGTGTCTGTGGAACTGCTCTGTATGTGTGTGTGTGTGTGTCTGTGGAACTGCTCTGTATGTGTGTGTGTGTGTGTCTGTGGAACTGCTCTGTATGTGTGTGTGTGTGTGTGTCTGTGGAACTGCTCTGTATGTGTGTGTGTGTGTGTGTCTGTGGAACTGCTCTGTATGTGTGTGTGTGTGTCTGTGGAACTGCTCTGTATGTATGTGTGTGTGTGTGTGTGTCTGTGGAACTGCTCTGTATGTGTGTGTGTGTGTGTCTGTGGAACTGCTCTGTATGTGTGTGTGTGTGTGTCTGTGGAACTGCTCTGTATGTGTGTGTGTGTGTGTCTGTGGAACTGCTCTGTATGTGTGTGTGTGTGTCTGTGGAACTGCTCTGTATGTGTGTGTGTGTGTCTGTGGAACTGCTCTGTATGTGTGTGTGTGTGTGTCTGTGGAACTGCTCTGTATGTGTGTGTGTGTGTCTGTGGAACTGCTCTGTATGTGTGTGTGTGTGTGTCTGTGGAACTGCTCTGTATGTGTGTGTGTGTGTGTCTGTGGAACTGCTCTGTATGTGTGTGTGTGTGTCTGTGGAACTGCTCTGTATGTGTGTGTGTGTGTCTGTGGAACTGCTCTGTATGTGTGTGTGTGTGTGTCTGTGGAACTGCTCTGTATGTGTGTGTGTGTGTGTCTGTGGAACTGCTCTGTATGTGTGTGTGTGTGTGTCTGTGGAACTGCTCTGTATGTGTGTGTGTGTGTCTGTGGAACTGCTCTGTATGTGTGTGTGTGTGTGTCTGTGGAACTGCTCTGTATGTGTGTGTGTGTGTGTGTCTGTGGAACTGCTCTGTATGTGTGTGTGTGTGTGTCTGTGGAACTGCTCTGTATGTGTGTGTGTGTGTGTCTGTGGAACTGCTCTGTATGTGTGTGTGTGTGTGTGTCTGTGGAACTGCTCTGTATGTGTGTGTGTGTGTGTCTGTGGAACTGCTCTGTATGTGTGTGTGTGTGTGTGTCTGTGGAACTGCTCTGTATGTGTGTGTGTGTGTGTCTGTGGAACTGCTCTGTATGTGTGTGTGTGTGTGTGTGTGGAACTGCTCTGTATGTGTGTGTGTGTGTGTCTGTGGAACTGCTCTGTATGTGTGTGTGTGTGTCTGTGGAACTGCTCTGTATGTGTGTGTGTGTGTGTGTCTGTGGAACTGCTCTGTATGTTGTGTGTGTGTGTGGTGTGTCTGTGGAACTGCTCTGTATGTGTGTGTGTGTGTGTCTGTGGAACTGCTCTGTATGTGTGTGTGTGTGTGTCTGTGGAACTGCTCTGTATGTGTGTGTGTGTGTGTCTGTGGAACTGCTCTGTATGTGTGTGTGTGTGTGTCTGTGGAACTGCTCTGTATGTGTGTGTGTGTGTGTCTGTGGAACTGCTCTGTATGTGTGTGTGTGTGTGTCTGTGGAACTGCTCTGTATGTGTGTGTGTGTGTGTCTGTGGAACTGCTCTGTATGTGTGTGTGTGTGTGTGTGATGCTCTGTGGAACTGCTCTGTATGTGTGTGTGTGTGTGTGTCTGTGGAACTGCTCTGTATGTGTGTGTGTGTGTGTGTCTGTGGAACTGCTCTGTATGTGTGTGTGTGTGTGTCTGTGGAACTGCTCTGTATGTGTGTGTGTGTGTGCTGTGGAACTGCTCTGTATGTGTGTGTGTGTGTGTCTGTGGAACTGCTCTGTATGTGTGTGTGTGTGTGTCTGTGGAACTGCTCTGTATGTGTGTGTGTGTGTGTCTGTGGAACTGCTCTGTATGTGTGTGTGTGTGTGCTCTGTTGTGGAACTGCTCTGTATGTGTGTGTGTGTGTCTGTGGAACTGCTCTGTATGTGTGTGTGTGTGTCTGTGGAACTGCTCTGTATGTGTGTGTGTGTGTC